CCCTATCCAGTATAATATAGAATTTTCTATTTCAACGTGATTATTTATATAATTTAAGAAAGTATAGTATATTGATCAAATAAAATTAATATAATAATTAATTAATATAATAATATAATAATTAATATAATAATTAATTAATATAATAATATAATAATTACACTTATAAAAACAAATAAGAATACCTTTGGTAAAATTTCTTTTCCCAAAATTTTTTACTGTGTATCATTTCGTAGAATTGTTTACACGTGGACATAAAACTCACGGCATCCTTAATGCTGATATTTTCATCTTCTAGAATGACATCAATCACTTCGTCGGGTAAAGAAATTATAGTAGCCATAAGGTCGCAATGTTATTCACGTTATTCGCTAGTTTAGTTTTATTATATTTCAATAATTAAAATTTTATATATGCACTAAATAAAGAAATCTGAAAGGAAAGTCTAGAACGAAGTGTATACGATTCACGTGGCATAAAACGTGTTGATGTATTCGAACAAACGAAAATACACATAGCTTACTGTAATTTTCATTGACACTATAGATGTCAAGACGCTACCAGAAGATACAAATACTTCAAATCGGTTACTGACCAATCTACAGAAGTCGGACAAAACTTCCTCTGTTGTGATTGGTCATGAGTAACAAAGGGTCGTCTCATAAATTCTTGAAGAAAATTTTCTACACAACATTTACTCTCTAATCTATTTGAATTTCATGATTTTACAGCTTTGTTGTAATGGTAAGTAATAGTAACAAAAAGAAGGATGCTATTTATACTTTGTTCCACATAACGTATTTGATTGTTATCTGTGAGAATTAAATAATGCGATTGATCCATACAACACAGTTCCATACAATCATATTTTATACTTTCTGCACAATTACATATTTTGGAATATGTCAACTTGTTGAATAGATATAGATTCCCAAATATAGGTGGATAAGACAATGTTTTCATTCCATCAAAATAAATTCTCAATATATCCAAATCATGAGCGAATTTATCATTACATTTAAGATGCCAATCAATTTCACCATTCACCTTGTGAAGAAAATGATATTTGAAGTTTATCGGTTTATGCGTTATGATCATACCAATAGCAAATTTGATTTCTTCATTTCTTCTTTTCGGTTTGTCACTTCTTTCGAAGAAATTATATCTGTCCTGTATGCATATAAGAAATGTGTAATAATAGAATTTTAATTGAGATTTCCTATCCAGTGATTTTCAAATTATTGTAATAATGTAAGTTATAAATTAATTATAACCATATAATCACTGTTGTTTATAGTTAAGAATATTATATGATGTGTCATAAATTACCTCTATTGATTCTGTAATATTAATGTATTCAGCTTCAATATTTCTTTTATTAATATTTTTATATTGTCTGAACCATTGGTAAATTAAGTATATACGTAAATTATTGGCTACTGTTGATTTCTCAGGAAATGCATATATATAATTGCTATATTTTAGTGATTCATACAGACAAAACATCATTGTTCTTGTCCACTAAAAGAAACAAATATGTATACAAAATTTCGTTTATAAACAAAAAATGAATTAAAAATTTATTGGTATAACGCATTATTGTTTTAACTCAACATATTACTTATATTTATAATGGATTGTTATTTTTATTAAAAAGATTATTATAATTAATAACATAGTATATATAAAATGTTGTATACCGGTGCACTTAACGTAAAACGTAATGCATTATCTAACCATTCTGTTTCTATTTCATCACAGGATATGATTGATTTCATATCATAATTCGTAAAATGATACTCTCCCAGCTCCATATCTCTTATATAACTAAAAATAAAAAAATAATAAAAAATATACACCTGTATATATGTACACCTATATAAGAGTATAAATAAAAAGGATAATGGAGTTCATTGTAATCAGTGTGTAAATATTTCTATATACAATCAATTAATTAAAAACGTGTATAAATCTAATTGTAACTAAGATACAAATTGTTTTGATTATCAAATGTTTGACATAAATAATTTTTTCAGTAAAAAAATAAAAAAGGTTGCCTAACTTTTAAAAAAATTATACATTTATTAAAAAATAAATCGCATTTGTCATTCTGCGTATAAAATCATTTAAACATCCTGTACACATTAACATAGAGTTAGGGAAGAAAATTAGAATATTTATCAGTAAAACATATTTAAAAAAATAATGTTTATTAAAATATTTCTTAAATCTTTTTCAAGAGAAAGAAAAATAGAATTAAATTGTTGTCACATTTTTATATAAGTATAACATATATAAGTATACATATCAGAAACGTATATATATAAACTTGTATATTTATTTTTAACGTATATGTACAATTGTATATAAATGTTTTTTATATAAATTAATACATTTTACATATTTGTGATCATAAAATCTATTAGTATATCTCAGATAAATTTCTTCAAAATATAATTTACATATATTATAAAGTTAACACAACAACACATAATAATTTATAAGATTGGTCTACAACTTTATGGAATTTATTTACATAAATATATTATCTTTACATAAGAAATAAATTAATCAATTATTTATATAAATGAAGTTATATTCTATTTATAATCGTAAGATAATTTTTTTATATTGAAAAAAAAATTTTTGATTATTTTTCTGCAATGCTGCGTGTATATGCATGCACGTGTGTATGTTTGTCTGTGTGTATGTTTTGTTTTATGCTTGCATGCGTGCGTGCGTGCATGCGTGTATGCATATGCTGTGTTGTGTGTATGTGCACGCGTATGTAGAGTGCACTTTAAAATTTCTATTGAATGTTTGGTAAATGTATTTTTATGTACAATAATTTATAAATCATTAGCATATTATATACAAATATATTTATATGAATAAGTATGTGTGTGTGTACACATATGTGTATGCATATACGTATGTTTGTATATATGCATGTAAAAGTATGTGTGTATATAAAAATAAAAACCTAAAAATTGAAGAAGCTTTGAATCTAAAATTATGCTTACTGTTTTGGCCTCCATATCCATCCCCAACTATTCTCTCTATTAATATCTGCATATGTAGAATAGCAATATATACCAAGTCTTCTAGCCACGCACTGATATGTAATAGTTGATAAAAATTCTTTATCATGTAGAAACTATGACATAAATTTTATTTTATTAGTTTGCGTATAAGACATAAAAAATATATTGGTGTTTATGCACTATATAACGAAGTATAATTATAATTTTTAATGTTTAAAATTACTTACCTTAATTATAAATTCGTGATATTTATTACTTTCAAAATTAATTATAAATTTGTCATATCGTATATATTCGTGTACTATACTTAATGTTTTCAATAGTTTATTTAATTTACCCCAAATCTGACATAAATTCTTCAAGAATTTCTATAATTTGTACTGCTTCTGTTGGATTCCAAAAATTACGTTCGATATTATTGTCTCTCCAAAACGAAATTTGCTCAAGAGACGTCGAAAGATATAGAAAGATATATAGAATGCTTAGGATATTTATTTTTAACAAAGGGTAATACTTCAAGTGCCATATCATCTAAGAACGTTTGTATGGCCGAATAAGACACACATAGTTTACAATATTGTGCCATAATAATAATTAGACGTTCAAAAAGTTGCTTCTCCTTTGACATATTTAGAAATTTATTTAGCTTGTACATAAAGCGATATTGTTTCAGATAGTAATTAATTCGATCAAAGCTGTATATATTTGCCAAATTGGAGTCTAAATTCCTGCAAAAACATTTTATTTTAATTGTACAGTAATTGCATAATATTTATATATTAATTTATAATATTAATAGCAACATGATATTGAAATTTACCGTAGATATATTTTTGGAGAAATAATTGAATTTATCATCGAAAACAAAGTAATAAGTCATTGAATCTTCAACAATGGAAATTAGAAGATGTTCTAATTCTTTTTTGTTAGTATCCAATAAGTTAATATTGGACAAATGCACATAATATTGTAGGGATTTGATACCCTTAACGCTCGTTTTCACTTTTTCTTTAAAATCTAAATTGTTAAAAATTTCCACTACCAGTAGGGTACATCTTGACTCCTACGATTACTTCAAATGATTTGATTGACCAATCTACACAAATTGGACAAAACTTCCTCTGTTATGATTGGTTATGAACATGGTTATGAGTAATGAACAAAGAATCATCTCACAAATTTTTAAAGAAAATTTTTTACAATTTTCTACACAACATTTACTCTCTAATCTATTTGAATTTTATAATTTTATAGCTTTGTTGCTTTGTTTAAATTGATAGCGTTTCCGTCATCGCAACAATTTTATTAACATGAAAGTTTGAATGAAAAGTAAGCTTTCGAAAAATTTCGTAAAATCTGCGTTGTCTGAAAAATCGGTATAAGAAAATAATTTTAAATTTTTTATTCACTTTCACTTTTTTCTCAGGATTTTTGTTTCCATTTTTTCTTGTATTTTTATACTATGACTTTTTAACATTCTTCATTTCGAATTCTTTATTTATAGAATATTTATATCTTTTTAATATATCTTTATCTCTAATTTTTTTCAAAATCTTTAATTATAATTTCTTAATTTTATGTTCGTGATAATAAGTGATACGCAAATATTCTAATTATAAATTTTTCGAACTAACTTGTGCAAATAAAAATATTCTTTTTTTTTTGTTATAATCTATAAAAAATAAGAAAATCTCATAAGTATTCTGCGTGTGTGTGTACGCAAGCAAATAATATTTCGTTATTTATAAAATTGAGCAAATATTATAACTATGATATAACGATACTATAATATATAACGATGTTTTGCATCGTATTCGACTTATGATTGATCGACCTAACAAACATTTATAAAATACGTAGAACATGTATGCCTAATTTGGTATATAGGGTATGAGCTACGAAATTTGGAAGATAATTTGTATAATTATATTGTATTGATTTATACAATATATTCATTGGATATGTTGAGAGTTAAATTGGGAATCACGCAGTGTTGTAGAATATACGAGAGCCCAAATCAATTCATCGATGACAAAGTTTATCCTATTAACACGAAACATTAATATTTAATGTTAATACGCACATAATTGTATATTCTTAACGTATTTTATTTTTTATAATGTAATTAAACATTGCATAAACATTTTAAATTTATGACGTACAATATTATTTATGCATACAATTTTAATATATTTATATCATGAATTGTACATGTTACATGTTACTGACTGGAAAGTATTTCGAGAATAGCAGCAGCATCGTCTGGATATAGTTTTGCCAGGTTTTCATTTGGTACATAATGAGCACCTTCGAATCTAGTGAAGTATCTCCCTATTTCTACATTATTGATCCCTTTTAGTCGTTTCTTTGTGGAGCATATAGTATCTAAAAAAATTGATAAATTTCATATCATACAAGTAAGTAATAATAACAAAAAGAAGAATGCTATTAACATTTATACTTTGTTTCACATAACGTATGTGATTGCTATCTGTGAGAATTAAATAATGCGGTTGTTTCATACAATCAGTTGTTCGACTTTCTCTACAAAAACAACTTTCGATAGTCGTCAACTTGTTGAGTAGATATAGATTCCCTGATATAAGTGGATGATTCAAATTACTTATTGGATCTATATCATCCAACTGATTCAATAGATTAGTGAACACACTATCACATTCATAATGCCAACCAACTATTACACCCTTAATATTGTATTCGACTGGCGATGTATGCTTTATAATCATACCAATAGCAAATTTGATTTCTTCATTTCTTCTTTTTGGGTCTTCACTTCTTTCGAAGAAAATGTCAGGTCTGTCCTGTGTGCATATAAGAAATGTGTAATAACAGATTTTCAATTGAGTTATCTTATCGAGTGATTTTCAAATTATTGTAATGACCTAAGTTATAAATTAATTATAATCATATGATCGCTTTAGATATTATTTATAGTTAAGAATATTATATGGTGTGTCATAAATTACCCCTATTGACTCTGTAATATTAATGTATTCAGCTTCAATATTTACTTCATTAATATTTTTATATTGTCCAAACCATTGGTCTAGGTAACTATCTAAGTTGCATTCAAGTAGTCTGCTCACATAAACTGATGATGCATAATTTTCATAGTTCAGTGATTCATAGAGACAACATATCATCACTCTTATCTCCTAAAAGAAACATATATGTAAACAAAATTTCGTTTGTTAACAAAAAATAATGAAAAATTTATTGGTATAATGCATGCATTGTTGTTTTATCTCGTTGACGTTTAACATATTATAATAAAGTGTTATCTTTATTAATGACTATTATAATTAAAAAGATAATACATATATGAAGCTGCATACCTTTATATTATTTAAGTCAATAGGTGCAGTATATGGCAATTCCCTTGTTGCATTATAGAATGCGAATGATTTTGCATAATAATCCTTAAAATAATATTCTCCCAACTCCATATCTTCTATATTACTAAAAATAAAAAAATAAAAAAATTAACAAAAAATATACACCTGTATATATGTACACATTTATATAAGAGTATATATAAACGTATATATGTATATTCACATAAGAGTATATATAAAAAGTATAAAAGAGTTGTAATCAATGTGCAAATATTATTATATTTATAGTAAATTAATTAAAAACGTGTTGTAAATCTATCTGTAACTAAGTTACAAATTGCCTTGATTATCAAGTGTATGATATAAATAATTTTTTTAGTAAAAAATAAAAAAAGGTAGCCTAACTTAAAAAAAAATTATACATTTATTAAAAAATATATCGCATTTGTTTTTGTTCTACGTATAAAATTATTCTGTTATTCTATACAGATTAACACAGAGTTACGGAAGTAAATCAGAATATTTATCTGTAAAACGCGCGTGTATATGAGCGTGTGTGTGTGTGTGTGTGCGTGTGTGTGAGTGTACACACGTGCACATGTATGCATGTACGTATGTATGTTTATATGCATATAAAAGTATGTATATAAAAATATAAACTTATAAATTGAAGCTCTAAACTTAAAATTATACTTACTATTTCGGCTTCCACATGCATTTATACCAGTTGCCTATATGAAAATCTGCATACGTTGAACAGCAATATATGCCAAGTCTTCTAGCCACGCACTGATATGTAATAGTTTTTTTAAATTCTGAATCGTCTAAAACCTATGGCATAAATTCTATTTTATTAATTCGTATAAGACATGAAATGCATAATTATGCTTATGCACCATGTAACAAAGTAATATATAATTATAATTTTTAATATTATTTAAAATTACTTACATCCATTACAAATTCGCATGCTATATCTAATGTTTTCAATAGTTTATTTAATTTACAATACCCCAATTCTGACATAAATTCTTCAAGAATTTCTATAATTTGCATTGCTTCTGTTCGATTCCAAAAATTACGTTCGATATTGTTGTCTCTCCAAAACGAAATTTGCTCAGGAGACGTTGAAAATAAAGAATGCTTAGGATATTTATTTTTAACAAGGGAAAATACTTCATACGCCATATCATCTAAGAACGTTTTTATGACCGAATAAGACAAATATGGTTGACAATGTTGTGTCATAATAATAATTAGCCGTTCAAAAAGTCTCTTCTCCTTTGACATATTTAAAAATTTATTAAGCTTATATATAAACCGATATTGTCTCAGATAGTTATTAATTCGATAAAAGTTGTATATAATTGTCAAATTGGGGTCTAAACTCCTGCAGAAATATTTCATATTAATTGTCCACAATAATTCACAATAATTATAATTAATTATATTATTTTGTATTATCAATAGCAACTTGATTTACTGAAATCTACCATAGATATATATATGATGGAATAATTGTATTTATTTCATCCAAAACAAAGTAATAAGTCATAGAATCTTCAGCTATGAAAATCAGAAGGTGTCCTAATTTGTTTCTATCAGTTAGCGTTAAATTATTATTAGACATCATATGTACATAATGTTGTAGGGATTTGATATACTCAATGTTCGCTCTTATTTTTTCTTTAAAATCTAAGTGTTTAAAAATTTTCCTCTTTTTCTCTGTATTATACTTTTTTCTCGCAGAAGGGCACCTAAAATTAAGACAAAAAATTTTCAGTAATTTTATTACATAATTCGCTATCTATAGCAGCAATAAATTTTTTATAATACTTTGTAAAATTCATATAAATATTATAATAATATGGAGTGTCTCACACATATGCAAATATAAAATACAATTCCTTCAATATTTACTCCATGCAATATTTTAATAATGTATTCTAAAAGTCAAATAGAATTAAAAATTTTAATGCAGAAATATTAACAATCAAAATTTATCAACATTGCATACAAAAAATTTGCGCACTTATTTCCATAATTACAAACATATAGGCGCGTATCAGTCTGTCATCTATTATTGATTTGTTCACATCTTGTGCCATTGATGTTCGTTGCACAACTGATTTTATTATTTCTTATGTGTATGAATCATAGACTTATATAAGTACCCAGCAAACACGAAGTAACATTTATATAACTGCTAATTGTAATTTCCCACTCAACAATATAACAGTTACATAACATATCTGTTATGTGGGAAATTACAACTAACAGTTATATAACTGTTACTTGGTGTTTGCTGGGTAGATTGCATTTTTTTTATGGACTTACGCGTGCCTACAATACATAGAACGATAGAAATGGAGTTTTCTACTCTTCCTCACACTTTACGAAGAGAGGAAGAAAGTGATGACTAGAAAGAGGAAAGGAAAAAGCACATAGCGTTTACCTCACTTAATTTACATTACAGAGAGAGATTAACATTAGACAGAGATAGTACCACTCCACCTATTCTCTCTTGCGTTAGTGAACGTTTCTTTCACGGTACGCTCAGTTAATTTGTATAAGTGATGTGAATATTTCATATGGCCTGCTAATATTATTGAGTTATGAATATTGTACATAAAATGTTGAATTTTTTGTTAAAAATAATTTAAATTAATTTTAATATTTGATTAATTATTATATTTAATTAGAGAGAGAGAGAGAGAGAGAGAGAGAGAGAGAGAGAGAGAGAGAGAGAATGTATGAAAGTGAATGGGGGGCGGAGAAAGAAAACTATCCTAGATTATTTCTTTCTAATTCTAAATAGAAAATAATTAAATGATAATATCTACATTTGTATGTCCTTAATCGGATTTAATATAACATCCGTATCTTGGCTAATATCAGTCCGTTATTGAATCTGATTAAGCGTGATGTTTAATCGTATAATAATTTAGATAAACAATATATATATAGATAGAGAGACAAAGAAGAAAGAGCTACATTCTCTTTATTCGCACACCTGGCTTCTCACAATGCATTAAGTATATCAGTATACTATACAATTTTCTATTTCAATGAGTATTTATATAGTTTAAGGAAAAATACAAGCTTTATTATATATTTTGATTCTCTACTAATAATCATATTTAAGTTTGATTAATACGTCGCAGTAAAACGGCAAAACTTTGAATTAATAAGCTAAGAATAAAATAGCTTCAAATTTCTTTTTTTTAATTTGCAAGAATGCTTCTTTGTTCAATGAAAATCGATCGAATAAAATTAATATAAATACTTATAAAAACAAATAAGTATACCTTTGATAAAATTTCTTTTCCCAAAATTTTTTACTGTGTATTATTTCGTGGAATTGTTTACACGTGGACATGAAACTCACGGCATCCTTAATGCTGAGATTTTCATCTCCCAGAATGATATTAATCACTTCGTCGGGTAAAGAAGTTATAGTAGCCATTGGAAAAGAAGCTCACAATGTTATTCACGTTATTCACTAGTTTAATTTTATTATATATCACTAATTAAAAAATATTATATATGCACTAAATAGAAAGGCTTGAACGAAAGTTTAGAGCGGAGTGTATACGACCCACGTGGCATAGGACGTTGATGAACTTAAATGTATGGGCCTGTTCTTTTCAGCTGCACTGCTGCACTAATGCAATTAGTTAGAGTGAAAGAAAGTAAGTTTGTCTCTTTCTAACTTATTGCACTAGTGCAGCAGTACAGCTGAAATAGACAAAATGATACAATATGAATAGACAATATGAATAGACAAAAATGCACATAGTTTAGGCTGAGTTTCCACTAAACGCGTCACGCTGTTTGACGTGCTCAGTGAAAACTCAGCCTTACTGTAATTTTTATTGACACTGTAGATGCCAAGATGTATCCTACCAAAAGGTACGAATACTTTGAATAGTTTGACTAACCAATCTGCACAAATCGGACAAAACTTTCTCTGTTGTGAATGGTCATGAGTAATGAACAAAGGGTCGTCTCATAAATTCTTGAAGAAAATTTTCTACACAACATTTGCTCTCTAATCTATTTGAATTTCATGATTTTACAGCTTTGTTATAATGTTATTTTGTTTAAATTGATGGCATTTCCGTCATCGCAACAATTTTATTAACTTAATATCAGTCTTACGAAACTTTTCGAAAGTTCACTTCTCATTCAAACTATGTCGGAAAAATAAGTATCAGAAAATAATTTTAAATTCTTTGTTCATTTTCACTTTTCTCTATGGATTTTTTGCTTGCATTTTAGTTTGTATTTTTATATGATTTTTGATGATGACTATGACTTTTCGATATTCTGCATTTATGAAAGACATATTGATCGTACATTTATTAAATTTTTTACAACATTGTTATTTATTTGCACTTTTTTAAAAGATACTGCAATGTGTGAATTTTTTCCATAATTTGAATTTCAATTATTTCTTAATTTTAATTTGATTATCATGATTTGTAATTTTTTGATTATATTTTAATAAGTACTTACTTTTTTAAGCTGAAACTAGAATCTCTACACAAGATCTGAGGGTAAAATCTGTAGAATAGCATTCTTCATTTCGACTTCTTTATCTATAGAAGATTTATATCTTTTTATTTAATATTTTCAAAATCTTTAATTATAATTTCTTAACTTTCCATAGTTCATGTAATTTATGAACACCCAATTCGGACATAAATTCTTCAAGAATTTTTATAATTTGCATTGCTTCCTTTCGATTCCAGAAATTACGTTCAATATTGTTGTCTCTCCAAAACGAAATTTGCTCAAGAGACGTTGAAAATATAGAATGTTTAGGATATTTATTTTTAACAAGGAAGTACTTCATGCGCTATATCATCTAAGAACGTTTCTATAACCGATTAAGACACACATGGTAGACAATGTTGTATTATAATAATAATTAGCCGTTCCAAAAGTCTCTTCTCCTTTGGCATATTTAGAAATTTATTTAGCTTATATATAAACCGATATTGTCTCAGATAGTTATTAATTCGACCAAAGTTGTATATATTTGGCAAATTGGAGTCTAAATTCCTGCAGAAATATTTCATATTAACTGTACATTAATTATGATTAATTAAACAATAATTATACTATTTTGTACTATTACTAGCAACTTGATTTATTGAAATCTACCATAGATATATATCTGGTGAAATGATTGCATTTATTTCATCCAAAACAAAGTAGTAAGTCATAGAATCTTGAGCTATAGAAATCAGAAGGCGTCCTAATTCCTTTTTGTTAGTGTCCATATGTAAATTATTATTGGACATCGGATGCACATAATATTGTAACAATTTGATACACTTAACGTTCGCTTTTATTTTTTCTTTAAAATCTAAGTGGTTAAAAATTTCCTTCCGTTTCTCTGTGTTATATTTTTTTCTTGCAGTAGGGTATCTAAAATTAAGACAAAAAATTTTCAACAGTTATATTACATTACGCGCTCTTTACAAGAGCAATAAATTTTGGATATTATACTTTGTAAAATTCGTGTAAATATCATAATAATGAAATCACTCACACGCGCGTTCACACACACACACACACACACACATACACACTGTCTCTCTCTCTTTCTCTCCCGATGAAATATTTTAATAATGTAATTCTAGAAGTCAAATAGAATAAAAAATTCCAATGCAGAAATATTACATAACATATTACAATAATTTTTAAGTTATAAAGAATCAAAATTTATTAATATTGCATAGAATTTGCGCGTTTAGATCCATAATTACAAACATATACACGCGTATCAGTCATCTGTTATTGATTTCTTCAAATTAGGTACCATTGAAATTTACTGCATAACTGATTTTATTGTTTCTTATGTGTGTGGATCATAGGCTTATATAGATAAACTATGTCTTGTTATGAACGAGTGCACGTATGACGTCATAGAAGGACAAATAGTGATGGTGTCTTCCATTCTCTCTCACACTTTACAGTGAGAGGAAAGGACTGGATTGAGGACAGCGGAAAGCAGAGAAAAGCACATATAAGATTCTGCATTATTGAAAAGAATTAAAAAAATATAAATTCTATCTCAACTAAGCAACTAATTGCACTGATATACGTTATAAAAAAATAGAAATAGTTTTTTTTCAGTAAAATATAAAAAAGATGTCTTACATTTCAAAAGATTATACATTTTTTAAAAAATAAATTGCATTTGTTATTCTATAAAATTAACTTATCGTTCTTTAACCCGCTAACATAGAGTTATATCGAAAAAAATCAAAATTTTTATTAATAAAATATAACTTTGAAAATATTACTTTTTATTAAAATATTTTCAAAAAAATTAGGAATATAATTAAATTGTTATTGCATTCTTATTTAAGTGTAACATTGTATTAAAAACGTAATATTGTATATTTTTTAAAATTCATTTTTCCGTATGATAATTCTTTTTTATATAAATTGATACATTTTACATTTTTTGTGTTTATAAAATCTGTTAATCTGAGATAAATTCTTTCAAAAATATATAATTTATATAAATTATAAAGTTTAATTATTAACAATATGATATAATTTAAGGAATATATTTACAAGTTTTTACTGAATTTATATTTACATATGTATATACATTTACATGTAAAATATTATAAATTAACTGATTACTTATATAAATGAAACTATATTATACGAATCCATATACGCGTGTGTTGTGGCTATAAATAAAATATATATTCTTCTCATATTATATTACATTGTAGAACTAAATGGCATGAGTATATCGCACGATTTGTAATATCTAGTTATACAATATATAATTTATATATATATATATATATATATATATATATGTGTGTGTTTGTGTTTGTGTGTGTGTGTGTGTGTGTATATATATATATAATTATTGCGCGAGATTTTGATAGGATAAACATCAGGTAAAAAACAAGAGAAAATATTTGTACCGGTTCTGTGTCTCTCTCGTTTCTCTTTCTTTCGCGACTGCGCAATGACGATCAGCTGATTGACGTAACGACGATCAGCTGATTACGTACTCGGCTCTCAGCTCAGCAGTTTTGATTCTTTTTACTGTGTTTATTATAGTAAAAAATTTTTACATATAATATAATAAGAAGGATGCATACTTTATCGTGTATTATTATTATTGATATAATAAGAAAGATACATATTCTCTGTTGTAGATAGCGGTTTATATAATATTTAAGTGTTCATTTATAATTGCTGAATGAGTGGAAATTTAACGAGGAAATCATTAAAAGATTTTGATAAAAATATCAAGTGAAAATTTTTTTTTTTTACATAAAATCAATATGTGTGCTTTATATTTATTATACTCTTCATTTCAGTACTTTTTTTAATGCAACTGTATGCTCACTCTTTTTATATGATAATTTCATATATAAATTTCATTTACATTCATATAATAATTTTGCAAACTTATGTATATGGTATCTGTTGTATCTCTGAATTATGATCAAAGAGAAAGAAGTCTTATAAATAGAAAAAGATAATTTTATAAAAATTATTGCTAACGAGCACTCAAATGTATATAACAAATAGAAAACTGACAGTGCAGGAAAAATACTTGTGTGGATGGCTTTGAATGGAAATATTTTAGTAAGTAAAATGTTAATAACATGTTATACTAATAATATTTTATACAGATATTAATCGAATTTATATAGAATTATATAGAGAATATATTTTTTATATTTATTATATATTTTATATGTGATTACATATTATATTTTATTTTATACAGGTTATAAAACATAGAATGTACAAATAGAAATAGTAAATTTGTGATATTCAAATAACTGCTGATATTTGTAAACTTATAAAACATATTTGATCAACTACTAACAATGTTGCGAATAAGATTATGGCGTCACGTAAATTTAAATAATTATTTTGCAACTCATCAATTTTCCAAAAGCTTCAAATATGTTGGTGCAGGTACTTATGAAAGCAATTTATCATAATATATATATTTATTACTAAAATATAATCTCTGTTATATCCTTAGCAAAAATTTTATTACTGATGATTTCCATGTCTATAAATGTTAATTTTTTTGATAATTGAAAAGATAATCGAAAAGAATTTAAATAATCAAATTCCTATATGTTTATATAATCTTTACTTAAAATTAAGAAAAATTTATTACTTATTTAATATTTTAAAATTTATCATATTTATGAAAGAATTCAAATTTCTTAAAAATTTAATTTCTTTTCTCTTTCTCTTCCCCGAAATGTACTTTATATATTATATAAATATTATATATATTATATAAATTCTTATATTTTTCTAAAAATGACAATCTTGATCAAAAATTGGATATTTATAAACGACTATTGTTGAATGTTGCAGGGATGACATTGTTGGGCATTAGTTATACCTTTCTACCTCCAAAGAGAAAAAAAGTTGCAAAGAGCGTTGCAGGCAGTTGTATCAGATTTACAAGGTCACTGAAAATTGGTGTAACAATATCTATAGATTACTTGATTGCTCCTTTAATGGGTTATACAGAAACGGAAATTCATCGAAGATCTGCCGATCGGATTGTTCAGGGATGCTTGCAAAATGGTGGAATTTACATAAAGCTTGGACAAGGTCTAGCAGCAATCAATCATATTTTACCAAAAGAATATATCGAAAGTTTATCAATATTACAGGTATACTTTTGTATCTCATGATTTTTCAGTGCTTGCATTAATGCTAAATTCAAATTTACATTATAATTTGCTTAAAATAATGTTTTGTAATAATATTTTAAATAATATTTTGCAATAATATTTGTAATAATATTTTGTAATTTTATAATAATTTTGTAATAATTTCTTATAAAGTTTGTTACATATCATAAATTATAAATATTTAAAGATTTCTAATAAGACATATTGTATTTTATAAAAACAATATATTTATATAAACAATATATTTTTTAATGAACATTTTTGTGAGAAATTTGAGGAAGGAATTCGATTTCGAAAAAAATTGGATAATTTATTTTGTATATCTTGAAAATTTTTATTTCTTGATATGCTTATTAAGGATAAATGTTTAACTCGAGAAAAGGATGAAATGGAAGAAATATTTTTACAAGATTTTGGCAAGAAACCTGAGGAAATGTTACGTGAAATTGAACCCGAGCCAGTTGCAGCAGCTAGTTTAGCTCAGGTATTAAAAATACAATATATATAGAACTTTCCTTTTATAAAATTATCTTATTACAAATAATTTGTATAAAATTATTATAAAGTTTTTTTTAATAAAGATTTTTTTCTATTGATCTATTTTTTACTAATTTTTCTTTTAAATAGGTATACAAAGGTGTAACTCTAAATGGAGATAAAGTGGCTATCAAAGTACAATACATTGATCTTCAGGATCGATTCACATCCGACTTGAGGGCAATAGTTTATTTATTAAAGGCTGTGACTATTATACATCCCAAATTCGATTTGCATTGGGTGCTTGATGTAAATATGTATTTGTTATTTGCAAATGTTATTATATTTACATGTATTATACATTTTTATTTTTTCAAATTTTTATTTTTGCTTCTATCAAATTTTGTGGAAATTTTCCTTTATCAAAAAAAATTATCTATATTTATAGGAGGTCATTGATACATTGCATATGGAATTAGATTTCCAGAATGAAGGAAGAAATGGAGAAAAATGTGCTAAAGATTTAAAGAAATTCGAATATGTATATGTGCCAAAAGTTTATTGGAATCTTAGCAGCAAAGTATGTAATTTTTATTCATGCAAACTTCTATATATAAAGATTACATTTTCTTCAATTAATATTCCTTAATGTATCTTTTGAATCACATGTTAATGTATCATCTTCTTTTTAAATTTCTTTTTTTATTTGTCAATTATAATTTTATTTATTTATTTATATTTACAATATAAAGTCCCTTTCACTGTATCAATTTCTGTGATTCTTAAATTTTCAGAAGCATAAATTTTTATTTATCTTTAATTCTTAAGTTGCTCTTTTTTTTAAATTGTATTTTATATTCTTAGAGGATTCTTACAACTGAATGGATTGATGGTATTAAAATCACAGATGTGGAAGGAATTAAGGCTCAAGGATTAAACATTTCGGATGTCGATAAAAAACTAGTCACTTTAATGGCAGAACAAATATTTCACACAGGATTCATACACGCTGATCCACATCCAGGGAATGGTATTATTTTTTTTTATCAAATATATTTAAATAAATAATATTTTCTCATAAAAAGAGAGATGGTTTGCAATATTAAGGCATAAGATTCCTTATCCATTGTTACTGTGGACTTTATAACCCAATATAACTACAGTTAAGAGGCTATATTAATAAAAAATATGACATTCTGACAATCTCGATTTGTATAGTTCTAGTAAGGAAGGGAAAGGATGGAAAAGCGCAAATAGTGCTACTAGATCATGGCTTATATGAACACATGACAGAGAAGGTGAGACATACTTTATGCAATTTATGGGAATCAATGGTTTTGAGAGATGAAAATTCCTTAAAAATTCTTGCAAATGATTTGAACGTGAAAGGTACGTTTACATACGGTAACAATTTTTTTAATAGTATATCTATTTATATTATACATTATAGTTTAACTCTGTCATACTTTTTTAATTTATAACATCTGCAAGATATTAATTTATATTACTTATATATATTATTTCTATTTATTGTATACATACTAGACTTATTTATTGTTTTAATTTTAAATACTATACATCCACAATCATTTTTAAAATTTCATACAATTGAAATATATTCTATAAAATATATTCCATACGTTTTTAAATATTAAGTCTTCTAAATTAAATCTTCTAAGTCATCAAAATATTTGCACCTTTGATTTAAAAAATTTTTGACATTACATTTCTGATGTATTCTCGATATGTATTATTTCAGATTACATAGTATTGGTGGAAATGTTATGTCAAGCACCATACAAAATTTCTTTCGCATCATTGGATAATATGACACTGGAAGATTATATGAGAAAACGGGTAAAAGAGCGATTCGATAAAATAACAGCTGCATTGCAATCAATGCCTAAGTGTATGATGCTAATAATCAGGTAAAACGATGCAGTTTTTTTTCGTTCGCACTTTATTTATTATACGAGTTCCAATTTATTAAGCTTTTCTTTAATATTTCATTTTCTCAGAAACTTGAACACAATACGTGCTATTATCAAAGATCACGGAGACATTATCAATAGGTATAGGATAATGGCAAGAATCGCGACACGTGGAAAATATCAAACTGCAAAACAATCTTTTTACGAAAATATCGTGGGTATTTGTAGTATCGTAAAATTCGAAGCTCATATCTAGTAAGTTGATTAATGACTATCTTTTTCATGAAAAACATAATATCGAATTCCCTTATTCTAATATTATCGGATGTTTCGAAATATTTCTTCTATTTTATGATTTTCTCTCAATGCATAATAGAAAAGCAATACAAGAAAAATCTTGTTTAAAACAAATAACTTTTCCAAAATAAAGGAAACCCTACAGAATAAAAAAGATATTAGGATAAAGGGAATTGATTCTATAAATTATTAAAGATACATAATTATCTATTTTTAATATCAAAACTTTTGATTTCTGCAATATCAAATAGAAAATGCTTTGTTCAATATTTTGATATACTTTTATAATAATTTTTTAATAATTTCTTACACTTTTTTATCTTTTTCAGCTTCAACAATCTCTTACAATGGATAACTAAACTTTATCTAACTTTTTTGAAGTTACTTGGTTACACCAATGTTACACCAATCTTACAAACATTGTAGCAATTTAATAAAAAATTTATATATTGTAACATATTATATTTAATATGTTGATTATGTCAGAAATAATAAAATAAGTTTTATAACGATGTTATTAAGATTAAAACTGTTTCTTATTGATCATTCATATTAAATTTTAATATTTAAAGCAAGTTATATTTTTTTCGCATTTTTATGCACATTTTTCATATCGATAAAAGTTAATTAATTTTATTGTCATTTATATAGATTTCAATAGATTTATAAACTAAACTAATTATAAGGATATTATTCATTTTTTTTCCATTATCTTGTATTAACAAATAATATAAATATATATAAAAGATACATAATAGACTGAAATAATTTTAACTGTTAAAAAAATTAGCTGCAGAAGTTGCTTTTCAAAATAAGAAAACAGGTTGCTTTTAAAAAAAATTGTATTAGAAAAAAGATAAATTACACAATAATTTTGACAGGAATATAATCATACTAACATGGAAATTTCTTCTCTATATCTGGCTATGTGGAATCTTTTTTTCACTTTATTATTTTAATTACTGTTGATGCAAGAAAACTTATCAAAAGATTGTCTATCAAAATAATAGGTGTCAGATTTTATTTTCAGAAACGTCAAACTGTCAAAGTCGTGAAATAAAATTTTAAAATTCACTCGTCTGAGCAGAATATTTGATCGGCCAATCAAAATGAAGGAAACTTGGCGCCTCTTGCCGGATTGGTCAATCAAACGCAATTCTGCCTAGGTAGATTTTCGAAATGTATATACATGCACTATTTTCACCAGTGCATGTATACACAGATATATAAATTAATCATCGTTAAAAAAAATTTATCGCTTTTTCAGAATAAAAAAAGGTTCTGTATTTAAAAAAAAGCTGCGAATAAAAGACAAGCTACGTAATAATTTTGACAGGTAGAACGCAATCATACAATCATATTCTATAATTTCAATAATATAATTATATATATTCCCAGCAAACACCAAGTAACAGTTATATAATTGTTAGTTATAATTTCCCACTCAACAATATAATTGTTATTTAGCACATAACAGTTATATAACATATTACAGTTATATTATTGAATAAGAAATATAACTAACAATTATAACAGTACTTGTTACATAACTGTTATATAACTGTTATATAACTATTAAGTAAGTTATATAACTATTACTTGGTGTTTCCTGAGTATACAGGGTGTCACTTAATTGGTGCCCATTATTTATATAGCGATATTCCTCGTGGAAAACTAAGTCGAAAAGTCCTGAACTATTTTTTTCTATAATGTATAATAAAAAGCGGTAATTATTGAGTAAAGTTGCGCCAATAAGCACCGACCTTTAGCCTCCTTGACGAAATTTTTTTTTAAGGAAACGCTTTTAACGGAAGAAATATGATTTTTAAAAATAAAGTTTTTCGTATTATAGAAGAAAAAAATGGTTAAAAAAAGAATCGTTTCAAAAAAATGGTTTCAAATTTTCTTCATTATAGAGAAAAATGGTTCCGGCCTTTTCGACTCATTGTCAGTTTTCCACGAGGAATATCTGAGAATATCGCTATATAAATAGTGGGCGCCAATTAAGTGACACCCTATATATCTGAGTTTGCGCGACGCGCTGACTGACACGTAACGTCATTGGTCGATGTTGCGGCCAGCGGCAAAGACTGGCGATAATAACCTGTCTTCTCGCGGTCTTGTCGTGTCGGGAACTGGAAGAAGAGAGGCGAGGAAGGATACGCGTGAGATACGCGTGGAATACGCGTAACGTTGCGTGCAATCGGACCATTGGACCTGCCGCTCGTCCTCTCCCTTGATGCGCGCGTGCGATCTCGCGACAGGTGTGTGTGATGATCTCCGTGACGGTGACGGCGAGCGTATCATCATCATCATCGGGGACATCGAGGCCGCGCTCCCGGGAATACGTCAATAGGATCCTGATTTATTGACGAAGGCGCGAAGCGTCCGAGAAAGATGACGGAGAGCCTGATCAATGAGTGGCTGGCGGACTGCAAGGATGTCTCGCCATCCGAGCTCCACACGTTCGCCAGCACGCTTTCGCAGGATAACGAGATCGTGCGAGCGCTCTACATGTTGCTGGAGGAGCGCACCAAGTACAGCGAGGTACATGTCCCTGATTCAATTGGCGCAAAATTGCGGTCAATTGCATATATGTGGTCTGGAAACGTCATTACATTTAATCTATCAGTGCTGTCTCTTGTGCAGTATATGTCAATATTAGTCATATGTGTGTCATATGTCATGTGTCATATATATAGGGAAAATGTCATGGAGTTATTATTGTACACGAGAAGAAAAATAATATTAATAAAGTAGTTTATAATTAGTTGTTAAACCTTAACGAAGGTTTGTAAAATGTATCAGCAATTTTACAAACACTTGTTGAGGAGATGCTTATTATCATCATTGTGAGAGATTTATTTTTTAAAACTGATTGTTTATATTCCGCTTATCTTGGGTCATTGTTGCAGTTGATGGATACAGTATGTAATCAGTTATATAATTTTTATCGATCTCGAGAAATAGAACTGCAAAGGTTCACTCTGCAATTCCTACCGACTCTGATATATATTTATCTAAACTCAGCTGCGCATGGTGACATTAAGGTAAAATTATACTATATATTATTATAATTAAGAGTATATATGATGTATCATACATAAAAAACAATAATATTCTATCAATTTGTTTATCAACTGTATCATTTCTCTATTGTGTTTTATGCTATCTCATTGTATATAATTGATATTTTAAATAGTTATATAATGGAAAACATGTGTTTACATGAAAAAAAATTGCCATCTTGTGTTATACTTAACTATTTTATATTGTAGCATGGTAAAAGAATTATTTATATAGCTCTAAGATAGATCTTGATTTGATCTTGATTGATTGATTTGATCTTTGACATTATATTGATCTTTGATATTATATTTCTTATGAAAAAGAACTATTCTTGAGAGTATTTTATAAATTCTACAGTTATATACATTCTGGTTTCAAACATATAATACACTTGTTAATAATATTTAATTTCCAGAGCTGTCGTTCCCTTGAGACTCTATTAATTGGATTATATAATTTAGAAGTGGTCGATAAATCAGGACAACAGAAAGCAATCTCATTTAGATTACCATCGCTTGCCATGTTATCCATATATCATGAGGTATGTTAATCATATTTATGGAACGCATAAAAATGAACAAGAAATTAATAACAGAAATAATATAAATCACAGATATATAAATTATTTTTTTTTCTTAACATAGATTAGAATACATAATCAGTTATTATAGAATTTTATAAATCATGCACTTTTTCTTTTTTAATTTTAATAAAAATATAAATCAGAATCAGAAGTATATGAAGCAAATTTTATATATAGATTAATTTTCAAAATTAAACTATATTTAATTTACAAAGTATTTAACATGAATAATCTTAGAATAATCTTATTAAAAAATTTTCTGTGTTAAAAGAAAAAAAAACTTTCTAATTTAAGATTATTCTATTGCAAAATTACTAGATTTTCTTAGATAATTGTTCAATATAATATGTTCTTTGAAACAGCCTGCAAGTTTAGCACCAGCCTCCCTAACAGAAAGTGCAGTGCGTCGTTTTGAAGAGTGTAATTCAAAGCTTGTGAGCTGGGGTCCATTGCAACAAGTAGAAACGTTGAATGCACAAAACAGGTTGAAAGTCATGACAGCTCTGCTTTTTATCTATAATCAACAACTTGGTTATATAAATAAATTCGCTTTAGAACAATTGTGCAAGGTTGCAACAAAGTGAGTTTAGTTTTTAGTCATAAAGATGCAGACATTAAATTTGTTACATTTTCACCTTTTAATCACAATTTTCAATTTTATTTCTGGCGCAGACTTGTCACTCAAGGGTTCATGAAACCAGGACATCATCAACGCTCTTCATACGGCAGTGAGTCTAGCTTTGTTCCAAGGCTTTTGCCACGTATACCAGTATCCAGCCAATTTCTCTTGGAATTTTTGCATGCTGTATATTTTGCCATGTATGTAATGCATTATTTGCAAATTTAACAGGATTTTTCACAATCTATTTTCTCCACACACTTTTCTCATTATCTTAGTATATATTAACAAATATAAAATTAGCACAGCATTTGGACTAATTTGTGCTAGCATTGCATATCTTTATATATAGGATTACATTTCCTCAGTAAAATACTTCGATTTGTAGGTATAACGAATGCTGGTATATAGGAAATCAAGCTGTGGAAGATATTCATAATAGAGCATGTTACGAAGCATATCCAAATGTAATGTTGGTTACCAATGCTGTGCGAAATTCCGCCAGTTCTGGAGCACCAGGTAATTATTTTCATATATGATTAAATTTAAATTTGAGATATTAATTTAAGTATAAAATTTAAATACTCCAAATTCAAATACTCCAAAATACTCTAAATATTTTATAATCTCTTTTATATCTTATTCAGGTCAACCGAGCGATGGACCAATTGGAATTAGCGTTGCACTGTCCCCGGCAACTGCTACGCCAACCGTTTCAAAGTCTATGATCACAAATGCTTCCTTTCGTACTAAAAAATTGCCAGGTATGTTCATATATTGTATCTATATGTATTATAAATTATTAATTTTTCTACGACGACATGTGATAAAAAGTAAAGTTGTCAGGAGCAATAATAATGAAGAATAAGAGAAATGTAATATCTTTTGAGAAAATACCTGAAATTGATATTATATATATTTTTAAAAATGAAATATATATCTAAATTTATATCTCTAAATTTTTATTATATATCGATAGATAGTATAATATGTAGTTGTATTCATTTTTATATTAATTCTTTCATTTGGCGCTTTTGAGAAAAAGCCTTTCAAAAAATTCGTTTACATAATTTGCTCGAAATCACATACAAAATTAATTTTCATAATCGAACTTGGTAATTGGTTATTGTGTTTTACGCAAGTTGTACATGTGGGCGAGTATATCTGAATAAAAGTGCTAAATACTAACAGAATATTAACATCAGTGCTATATTTTCCATTAAAATAGCTAACATGCATAGAGATAAAATTTTAATCGTGTGTTGAAATATATTAACTTTATACCTTTTACACAACAGACATAAATAATACACAAAAAACAGATATGCATGGACGTGAATGTATTCGAGTATTCTTAGGTCCAAGTTTGCATGTGACGTCCCTCTAAGTTTTATAAAATTATTGCTGAATTAAAACGTCTTTTTTTGTCCCAAGAATGAATTAGTTGCCCAAACAAGTAGATATTGATATAATAATTATACACACACATTTTTGGGTAAACCACAATGTGCAATGTACTATGTATTTCCCCTCCGCCCCTTCCCCGCTCACTCTTATCTGTATTCCATGATTTGCTTGTGATAATTCGCAAAAATCATGAAATACATGTACAAATAAAAATAAAGTGAAAATTGACTAAACTCGAATTCGCATGATATAAAGTTTTAAAATATATACAATAAGTTAGAGAGAGAATCCAAAAAATGTGGATTGCGCGTCTATGTCTACTAGACGATCTGGATGAGAAGTTATTTGCGGTCGAATTGAGCAATTGTCAAGTCGAGAAGCAACAGCAACCGGCAGTATCTGGCAGCAAACGTCGTCCATGGCATTGGAAGCACACGCTTCCAAATACGGTCGATAAGAAGGACCCGGGCATGGGAAAGGCGCAATCTTCCTCCTCGTTGGAAGGTTCTAGACGTGGAAGTGTATGCAGTAGCAGTCAAAGCTCGCCGATAAAGTCCTCTCCTAAAAGGAGCAAGGACCAACAATTAAAGAAAGCGGCTCTCGACGACGGCAGTCCGAAAAATAAAAAAGATAATAACGTAAAGTGCGACTCCACTTTTTCCGACGATAGACTGACGGCCGTTAATGCGCATCTGTATAGCGTGTTAGAGGAGCAGGCTCTGGGCGAGATTATTCGTGAATCGGTGGACAGTGTATATACGGAAGGCAACAACAGAGTAGATCGATGAAATTTTGCGTCACTGCCGCACTGTCATCAAACATATGGTATTATCACTTCAGTTACAACCACTATAGGATGGCGTAAATCTCATCACGCTATGATATCTCCGTCAGACTTACGATTCTCATTATTGTTTTCTTATTCGGTATACACACTAGCAGCGCACACACGCAAAATAATGTCGTTGACTTGTAATAATCCATCGTGATCGTGGATGTATTCCTTTCAGAAGTATCACTCCCAGCTATAATGAGACATACGCATAAAACAAAATCTAAACAGAAACCAGCGCATGACTGGAAATATGCATGTCGTCACGGCACATTTATCTTCCCGCACCGAGAAATTCAAGTATATTGCTTGACTAAAAAATGTACTTGATGTATTCTTTTCCTCTACTAACTGTACTTCTTGTCTGTCTCTCACGTTTATATTCTCATTTAAATATTACTTGCGCAATTTGTCTTCTTTTTTTATTTTCTGCACTCTATATTTCCCTCTCTATATCAAATGTAGATTTTATATGTTTAATATTTTCTACTTCCTATAAATGTTCTGTCCCACTCGTTTAAAATACATCTATGTATTATGAACATATAATTGAATATAGAAAAAATAAAAGAAATATATTGTGGTTGACACACACGTACATATTGTAATGCATTTTCGTTGAGAACAAATACATGTTCCTTTATCGCGTAATTAATGTAATTTATGTGCTATTTAAACATAATTTTATTATTCTCTTCTACGCAAACAGAAATAAATCATATTTATGTTATAAGATATTTAATATATGCAATTTATGGATATTATGTAGAATGTATATGTATGTTTTGCTGCCTCTAAGAGACGCTTGTTAATTTTTAATATTGCTTTTATTATTGTCAATTCCAATTTAACAGTAAACTTTTGTTTACTTATGATACAGGAAACAATATTGTATAAAAATTTTCTTTTGCCCTCAGATGACATACCAATACAAGTTGTAAAAGATGATACTATCGGAGAGGGTAAAAGTAACCTGGTATCAATCACGGAAGAACAAGAATCAACAGAGCCGAACCGTATTGGTTCCATGAGACAATCAAAGGATCAAAAGACTGCTTCAAAGATTACAAATTTCCCTGTACTCGGTAAGAAACCTAAAGAGAAGGAGGGGAAGATAATGAAAAACACTCATGTTGCATTGTCTGAGAAGGAGAAGAAGCTCGGTTCCCAAACGACATCGAAAGAGAACATTAAAGGAAGTTTATCCATGTTGAGTAATAGTGAGCCACAAGCGGAAGTCGATGGAAATATTAATGGGTGTGCAATTCGAAAGAAAAATAACAGTGTAGAAAATACGATCATAATAGATTCAAACGTTGCGTTGATCGAAAATGAGAGACTGGCATTAAATAATGATGTTACCGATAGTAGTATGGAAAATTCTATCAATTTAAGGGCGCATAATGAAACAGAGTCTATGGCTTCTTCTATCCAAGTTAGCTCTGTTTAATGACGATAAGAGTCTACAAGTTATACAAAATGTTATATATATAAATAGTGATGGGCTGAAAACATATTAAGCAAATAAGTCGTTCTCTTCCAACTAGCAAATCTGAAAATCCGTGTCTAACATGTACATGTTGCCTTTTCCTAAAATTATTTAAGATCACACACTATTTTCCCAATAATAATATGTGTACATTACCACTGTATTGCAATATTTCGAATAGGAATTATATATTTTTCTCGACATGTAGAGCAATTTAATCAGTCCATTACTCTATTGATCTCCATGATAAATCTAAAAAATGGGAGAGGGAACAATATGAACTAAAGGTATACATGATTGTTTAATATTTTGTGTGCATATTAGTATATATTGACTAATTTTTGTAATTAAATTTCTATAATTTATTCGATATATTTTATATATATACATCAGAATGTGTAGTATTGTAATCTCCTTATCCTCATATGGTTATCGAGTCTCACTTTTAGAGATTATAGATCATTATTATAATCCAGAAAACGAGTATTATCACACAATACAATGTAATATCAATGTATTTATGTTTAACCCAGATGTGCCTTGATGCACCTGTGATGAAACTTTCTTTATCGTCCCAGATATGTAGATAATAAATTTATGATGAAGGGAAGAAAGGAAGAATATCTAGATAAAATTACAATGTCGCTTAATTAGTAAGCGGATAAATATGTATCTATACAAATATAGAATATCAGACATATCTGGGTTGAATAACATAAATCTATTACTTTTGTCATAATTGTTCCGAAATGATATTAAGAATTCGTGACAAATCATTTGTTTTTGCAAACAGTTGCAAACAGTTGTAAACATTTATATATACAGATGTATACATGCACATATTTATATATAAGGTGCTCCAAAACTCTATCCAAAATTAACTAAAAAATATAGTTTTATTTGCTTTTTCATTCTGTAAAATTTAGTTCACAAGCACTTCCTTTTCAATCATTTAATTCGGAAATTATCAATACTTCGACATCACAAAATCCTATTCAAAATCACTATTCAAAAATTTTATTCGGTGGTTTTGAAACATCTTGTATATATTATACATATATGTGTAATTGTTGGAAATAATTATGCGAAATTTGAATGTAAGAGAGACTTTATTCTCTCACGTGAAACTTGACTCACGTTGAAAATGGTCAACTAGTCGAGAAAATATTTGCCATTTGTATATAAAAAATTGGGAATAGAATAGCAGAAATATTTTTCAAAGAATTTGGAATTCAATTTTATTTCATGTTTTATTATATATATCTCGTTATTTATATTTAAGCGTGATTGTACAGGTTATAATCAGATCGATATAATCAATTTTCTAAACTTTTTAATTTGATACATTCAACGATATAGAAATTATAAAAAGAAGTAACGACATAAAGAGTTATTCTCAGATGCAATATGTATTGTTTTCTCACTGTGTATCTCCTTATAACATGTAAATATACAGATATATAAAGTTAACAAATAAAAAATACATCATATAGTGTGTGTTTAATAATTAATTTTTCTCTTAGAATTTTAGAAAAATTGATTCCATATTTTTCAAAGGATACTATGCTCAATTCCCAATTCTTTATGTTCATTCTGAGTGCACACAAAGTTGTATTAATCTATATTAATATGTAAATATATATATATATAATTAACAAAAATATTAATTGTATAGAAAAGGAAGAAGAAAAGGTTTAACTCAAATATAAAGAACCACATATATCGTCAACTGCATTTGTTAAAATAAGTCAGTTAATTATTCCAAACTGTGAAACAATATATCATAAAAGTGAAACACATTGGAATCGATGCGACGTTTAAGGATCACTGGTTAATTTAATTACCTTATGGCCTATTGTATTAACTAAAGTGTAAAAATAGATTTTAAAAATACATTGAAGTGTTACCCGAAAAAGTTGATAATAGCAATGATAAGTGTAAATGCCATATTACTTTATGTGATTTTTTATTTTATATTTTTTAGGTTTAAATTTTTTATTTATTATTATTTAAATTTTGCACCCCTTAATTTTTAAAGAGATATATTGTAGATTTTAAAGAGATACTGCATTTTTATATCTATATATTTTTGTGAAAAATCATTTTTAAAAAATTTTTAATTTTTAAGAAACTAGATTCTTTTAGATGTTTTTTACTTGGGTTAATAAATTCAAACTATTTTTAAATGCTTAATAATATCGCTCAAAATGCTTTTTAGAATAACAACAAAATTCGCGATTCAGATCATTGCTATCAATTTTTCAGAGCAAATTCGCAACTGTAAATCCTCGATTTGACCACGAAAGGAAAATAAGTAGCTCTCTCCTTTATACGACAGCTAAGGAAGACAAACGGACGGATTACCGTACTTTCCTTTCTCGTGATTCTATTCACAATCCGCGTCAGCTTTTGTCGGACGATTTATTTATTTCTTACCATTGCACTTTTGTATTACATTTGAAAGATGTATTGAATTTTTAGGAATGCAGGAGAATAAGGACAAAACTGAGCGCGATAAATATTAAAATATTAAAAACCCCCGCAAGCGCGGGTCGATTCAATCCCCGAAAATATAAGAATCCAAATTTCTAAGAATGTTAGCCAGAGAATGCGAGATATTCGAGATAAATTCTTACATTTAAAACTCTTCGATGTCCGACAGTTCTAGATTCTAAAGACACTGAGAATTCTGAATTCTTTCCTCTCGGAATCCACCGATCCTAAAATTATTTAACTTTCTCGCGAAAGTTTAACTTTCAACTTTGCATTTCTCGGAAAGAGAGAATCTTCAAGTTTCAAATTTTCGTTCTATTTTTTTTTGACAGCCGAAATTTCTTTCGTTCACGAAATTTCAATTTGTTTCAAAAAATTGGATCATGCCCCTGTCGATGCCGCACGCGGTCATGTCGACCGCTACATGACAGAATATGACCGCGCAAACTGAGGGTGACGTCTATCAATTATTATCTGGGGATGACAATTAATACGCCAGAAATTTCGGCCGTATCGGGAATAGATTATTAACAGATGATACAGTTACGTGTCGCGACACAAGCATGACGAATCGACAATATTAGTTTCATGCTACAGGAAACGTGCGTCATACGTCCTTCGATGTATTTACAGACGCAAGATATCCTTTTCAACGTTCTCGTAGAACTGTTTCATTTCATAAATTCTTTTATTTCTAAAATAAATATTTTAAGTAATAAATAATAAATGAATAATAAAATATATAAATAAAAATATATAAATAAATAATAACAAATAAAAATTAATAAATAATTAGCAAAGAAAAAGAGAGAAATTAATCTGCTTAAATGACATTACGTAACATTGTAAAACGAGACATTATTTAATATGAATATAACATAATTATGAAATTATTTTGTATATCTCTTATCATTTTATTAAATTTATTTATTTATTTTATTAAATTGCTCTCGGCAAATTTGCCCTCGACAAATTGTTTTCATTCTTTGTCGGAAAATTTTGCTCGACTTCTGTTAAAAGAGATTCTGCTGCGTTGAATATATAAATATATAAATACATAAATAAATTTAAGAAAGAGAGAGAGTCTTGGATTCTTTTAAAGTCTTGGGATATCTCCTTGTACTTTAAAAAAAAAAATATATATATATAATGATTTTTCACCCCAACCTTCGGGGAATGCGACTCTTTAGAGATTCCTCATACATATAGAATTTGTAATTTTGAAGAGGAGAGTCTGGAGATATTGTATTGCATCCTTCTCATTCATTTGGAGAGAAATATCAAAATTTATACGTGTGTTTACAAATTTAAAATTTTCCAACTTTTATTATATAATTATATATGCTGATTAAATTACATAGAATTACTATAATTTCTTATAAACCGCATTTTTAACGAGAGAGGAATTATTAAAGCTATCAATTTAAACAAAATGCAACTCTATTTTAATGTTTACTATTTATTTATTTATTGCTTGCTATTTATTTATTTATTTAATACTTATTGACATTATGCGATGAAACTTTACATCTATATAAACCGTAAAAATTCCTCAATTTTTTTCAATTTAAGAATCCCCTTTTACTTTATCTTCAAAAATAAAAGAGAAGAAGATTGAACTGTTTTAAATTCTTCGAACACACACTCGTGTCGTTTTAAAAGTATGCATCTAACGATTTTTAATCCAATATTCAGGATGCAACTCTAGATTTATTCCTCATATATAGAATTTATAATTTTGAAGAGGAGATATTATATGTCGCATCCTTTTCATTCATCTAAAGAGAATTATCAGAATTTACAGAATTTGTGTGTTTAACACAAATTCAAAGTTCTCCAATTTTTATGTAACATTTATATAACTGTTACATGTTATGTAACTGTTAAATAACAATTATATTGTTGAGTAGGAAATTATAATTAACAGTTATACATATAAATGTTATTTGATGTTTGCTGGGTATGTATACTGATAGATACTGAAAAAAAGTTTAAATTACATAGAATTATTTTTATAAACCGTATTTCTGATGAGAGATTAAAGATGTTAATTAAAAAGAAATCCAGTTCCAATTTAATGTTTGCTATTTAATATTTATTGACATTACGATGAAACTTCCCAGCAAACATTAAGGGCCGGTTTCACAATTAGAGTTAAATACGTTAAACTGGGTCCTGATTGATCCAATCGCTACTTAAACTCGGAATAACTGGATTGTGGAACTAGGCCTAAGTAACAATTATATAATTGTTAGTTATAATTTCCCACTCAACAATATAATTGTTATTTAACACATAACAGTTATATAACATGTAACAGTTATATTGTTGAATAAGAAATTATAACAGCTAACTGTTACTTGGTGTTTACATCTTTACAAACTTAGAACAGTTTCTCGATCTTTTCAATCTAAGAACCTTTAATCTTACTTTATTTTCAAATTTAAAAGGGGAGAGACAAGTTGTGAGATCTTTTCAATTTAAGAATTCTACTGAATCCTACTTTATTTTCAAACTCAAAAGAGGAGAGGGTTGGACTGTTTTAAATTCTTTGGAAACGACAGACACTCGTGTCGTCTTAAAAGTGCACATCCAATTTTTCGGAGGGGATGCAATATCTCTCCCTCTCTTTATCTACAAGTTCCGTACATAATATGCATAGACTCTGCAACTTCGGAGGGAGGAGAGTCTCCGGAGACACCGCAACCCTTTCTCGTCACCTGGAAAGAGATATCGGGATTTATACGTGTCTGGTTGGGCTCGTGTGACCTCTATTCGGTATCGCTCTCGGAACACACCCCGCGCGCGACACTTCAAAGAATGGGCGCATTGTGATATCGCGCAGCTTCACGAATCCTCCTTACGACCTCCGGAATTACCACCGCCATGTTCACGCGTCGACGACGATCGCTCGCTCGCGTATCAATATCAAACTCCGACCAAAGCCCAGGATATTAAGCCACCCCTCCCCCTCCCCCATTCCATCCCCCTGTTACCCCTTCTTTCCCCCTTTCTCTCATCGGCGAGCGTCAATCCGCTCTCGTAACGCAATCATCCTTTCTCACCCTTTCGTCGCCCCCCTCCCCCTCTTCGAGGAAAATCCTTCGGAGAGATTTCTCCTGTTCGCCCGCGCGAACAGGATACGTTTCCGACGACGGAGCTTATCGTCGTCGCCAGGTTCCCGTGAGCGAGGAACGATGTTCAAATCGCGCCAGAATCAGCTGTTTGAGGTCAAGCAGCTGAAATCTGCATTAACGCGATACGTCATTGGAGGACTCTGGATTTTTTGTGAAGAACAGCTTGTGTAAAAGCACCAAGTCCGAAAAATTGAGCGCACTTCTGTTAAGTGTCCGCTGAGTATCGAAGCGACACGTATTTTTTAAAGATTTTATAGTATTGTGAGTTTAGATTCTCGCTATTTACAAGTAATTGCTATTTATAAAATACTGTAGTATAAATAATGTATAAATAGTTTAATAGTTAAATAGCGTGTAAATAATTTATATATATTAAAATTTGTTAATCTCAAATGACGAAAATTTTATAGTTATTCAGTGGAAAGACGTAACAAATATATGAAATCAAAATATTTTAAATTTTATTATTTGGGAATTATTTCGAGAAAACAAATAGATATATGTATAAGCACAAAGCACGTATTCGAAAAACTAGTTAATATACAATATGATACATTCTTTTAAGTGAAAGTTTCGACACACTTTCTCTTCATTTTTCCAGAGATTTATGGCTTATAATAGCTTTGTTCAAATCTGATTTTAATGTAAATTTTTGTTCTTTTAACTCTTTGTCAATTGTCCATTGTTAATTCATTGATAATATATAATCAGTAAAGATAAAATTATTATCATCCACTCCATTTGATGATAAGATTTCATATTTTATATCTGTTAATGATCGAAAAACAAATATTTAGCTAGACTATAAGAAGCAGATACAGACGGACCCTTGCCGTAACAATGTGGAAAAATGAAGAATAGCATTCCAAGCATTCCAAGCATTTCTTTTTTTATTTGATATAAAAGTAGTAGAGAAACCAAATGAGCAGAAATATGGGATTGAAAAATGAAACTGAAGCGGTCGAAACAGATCAACAGGAAAGCTCCTAGAAGGATTATATTTATACTTCTACACAATTGTGAATCATAATTTATTATTTTATTATGGATTTGAATATATAGAAATATTTTTGCATAATCATTATAATAAAATTCAATAAATTGAAATAAATTGCTACTTACATTGGAAATTAATATAATTATTTTTATTTATTTTAATATAATTATTTAATATAATAATTATTATATAATAAAATTACAGTAAATATAATGTCCTTTTTAAGCAATATAATTGCAATTTGTCGAAGAGATATTATTTTAAGATAATTTTTGGATATTTGAAATGGTATCGTTTTATTTTTTTCAATCGATATTGAATTGATAAAATATCTTAGTAAATATGAAAATAAGAGAATAAGAAATTTTACATTATGTTAAATTATAATAATTTGTTATGCTTTGCGCAAAAATTAATATAATTTTTATATTTTATTAATGTTTAATATACAATTTTTTAAATATAATTTATAACAGATTTCAGGATTCTTTCGAACTTATCTACTAACTATTACATATCAATGCGTAGCCAGAAGACTCAGCATATGCTGCATTCTGATGCCAATAAAGAAAAGATGGAGAGATAACCCTCCAGGAGATTTTAAAATTGTATGGAACTCGAAATAGTAAGCTTAATTTTAATTAAACATAATTTATTTTAGCTATTTCGATCTTTTTGGATTTTATATTTTTTTCTTATTTTTAGTAATACAGAAGTGAGGATTTTGAAGAATCCAGAATATTTTTATATGACAAGGGGATCCAATGAAATTTATCCATTAAATATCGTTAGAGGAACATATTGCAAAGATACTTCACCTCGTCTCTTAATAAATCGGAAACTTTTACATGTAATTTTTATGTTAATTTTAGCAGTAGTTAAGAAATATGAAGATTAATTGCATGTCTTATAAATACATTAAGTCAATGAGTCAATATATTTTATAATTAATTAATAAAATAATAAACATTATTTTTACCTTTTTGTCTGTAATAGAAATTTTGTAGTTCACAGTTATCTATTTTTTTAGATATTGTTGATATTATTTTGATTTAATTTTCCGATATTCTAAACAATTTCATTTAATATATAAAAGTAAGAAGTAAAATAAATTTAGTAAAAGTAAAATAAATTTAAAATATCTTCCTCAGATTCGGTTATTCTTTTATCTTCTCTTTGTATTTTCCTTTTATCATATTACTGAATTGATTCAAATCTTTTTTCTTCAATCTCTAATACATCCACATTTTTCTTATTTTCTAATACATTATTGATTATTGTGTTTTCTCTACTTACTATACGTGTACTTCCGTCTTCATTTTTTTTCATATTTTCATATTTGAAAATATTCTCCCCATTTCGATTTTTCTAATTTCTCGTCTGATCTTGGTCTTCTCTCTCCCTCCTTATTAATCTTTCAATATGTATAATTATATTATTAGTTATTTTGATATATTAGGCCGTATGTTTTTGTTATATATTTTATTATATATATATTATTAGTTTCTATAACTAAAACGTTTATTAAATACAAAAATTAAAAAAAATTTTTTAAATAAAAACAAGAAACAAAGTAAAAGCAGAAAAGTCTGGAAAAATAGAAATAAAAATAATCTACCAAGTGAGACGTGAGGGAGGGGGAGGTATACATTTAAAATACTTATTTTAGTTTTAAGTAACGAAAACTTCACTGATGTTCATACATATCACGTTCATATTTGGAAAAGGAAATCTATCGATCTGTCAATAGTACGTCGCTCTGAATTTTATTTATAGATTAATGATAATCAGCAATTCCTTTAATTCGAGCAATTCCTTTAATTGTGTAGAGTAAACAACTGTTGTATCAGCAAATGCGTTGTGTATTTTGCGCGTCGCCTTCCTGAAGCCACGCCGACTCTATGTTCCTTAACAAAAAAATATCCATTTTGTCCCCGTCTATTGTCCCTAAAATTTTGGAACGGACCATGGAAACTTCCTTTGTATTCAACAATTCGACCAGTTTAAACGTATATCCCCTCCAGTGCCAGCACACCGTCCATGCCCCTATAACGTGCTGGCACTGACTACAGTGTACAGTTGACTCTGCATTATTCTAAATCAGATGTTAAGCAAAAGTGGAAATTAAAAAGCAAAGGCCAAGAAATACCTCACATAAGCGGCAACGTGAAGGAAAATCTGAAGGATAGAACGAGAATCTACAAGGAATTAATTAAATCGACGATTTTTATTTTGTCAAAAAGGTAATTATCACATTTTCTTAATTTAGTAATTCAGACTAAAAATAATCCTTCCATGTAAAAGGTTTTACGCGTCAATCGATTTATAGTATGAATAAAGCGAGAAGAGAGAGATAATATAGAATTTTAAAAAATTAAATAAAATAATATACACATACATATAATATAAATACGATTGAATTAAACAATAACATGAATAGACTCTTAGATACATTAAATTGCAGTTATGACTGGTAAAAGCTATTGCAGTAATTAAATTCTTTCCATAATATAAAATTTACTATGTACAAATGTATATTTTATTTTTAACACACATATATATTTAATGGTTATAATCAGAAATTAAAGAATTTTGAATTTAAATTTTTTTATAAATCTTTTACTCTTCCTTCTCATCATTCGGAAAAATTTAGAAACGTACACGAAAAATATATTTTCTTCTAGAATTTGCAAACATTCAGTTATCACCTATAATTAATACAATTAATTACAATTAGACTTTTATTAGTCGTAAGATTACATTTTAGTTACGTTGAGAGAGAGAGAGAGAGAGAGAGAGGGAAGGAGAGAGGGAGAGAGGGAGGGAGGGGGAGAGAGAGAGAAAGAAAAAGAGACAGAGAAAGAGAGAGAGAGAGAACGAGTGTGCTGCATACATATATTTCTTTGTATGTGTGATAACAAAAGTCTTTTATTGGTTGCTTACGGATAATATATAGTTTCTATTTTCTCTTTTCCCTTGCTTTGTTGCTTTGTTTTTCTAACGATTCATATTTTATAAACGTGACAATTTTTCTTCCGTCCACTTTCACTCATGTTCACTCATGAAACTAACATTTATATCTCGTTTTATGCTATGAAAAATACTGCAAATATAAATGTTTCAAAAATAATTGCAAAAATATTATTCTATATTTTCTATGATTTATTGAATTAATTATAGAGATTATTAAGTAGAGAATTATTAAGTTAGAATTGCCGTTATTTACGTGTCACTTTCATATCATAAAATGAAATAGAGTCAATTAAATTTAAATAAACAGATTCTATAAAGAATAATTGTTTTCTCCTTCTTATACATCTAAAATTTAGACTGCCATCAGAAAATCATCATAAAATGATTGTGTGACAGTTTCTGTTTAATTATTTCATAAAAAAATTATGAAGCTTTACATAGAATACACTATCTGGAAGAAATCAGCTTGATTTATGTTGTTTCGTGTTTAATAACATAATTTCTATATCTTCCTGTATATCTTGCAGATGCCTAACATAAAGCTACAGAGTTCCGATGGCGAAATATTCGCGGTTGACATCGAAATCATAAAATGTTCAGTTACTATCAAGACTATGTTGGAAGATCTCGGTATAGACGAGGCTGAAGAGGAAGTCGTGCCATTGCCGAATGTTAATTCCGCGATCCTCAATAAGATTATACAGTGGGCTACGTATCATAAAGATGACCTCCCACCACCATCATTCGAAGACGAAGCCGAAGAGAATTCTAATGATGATATCAGTTCATGGGATGCCGATTTTCTAAAAGTAACTATCCTTTGTAGATTACGTTGAAACTAAACAAAGTCTAGAATAAATATGTATTATGTTACTCAAGAGAATATTATATTTAGGATAAATTTTACTATAATTTTAAACACGAATATGTGTGTTTCATAGGTTGAGCAAAGCACTCTCTTCGAATTGATTCTGGCAGCTAATTACCTTAATATCAAAGATCTCTTAAATATCACATGCAAAACCGTCGCCAATATGATTGAAGGCAAGACAACCACAGAGTTATGTGAAATATTCAACATCAATCGTGATTGTAATATTTCAGAGGAAGAACAAGAAGAAGAGTGCATAAAGAAAGAAGAGAAGAAGAGTGTGAAGAAAAGAAGAAGGTAAAATCTTCATGTAGAACATTATTGCATGACTGGTTTTAGTATTTAACAATTTTATTATTTTAATAAATATTTTTTTAATGAAAATAAATTTTTATTTTTTTCCAAAAATGGTCAATTAATTGTAATAGAAATATTAAAATTACGTGATTACTATTTTCTATTTTACTATTACATCACTATTATTTATTTCCATTTTATAAATATAGAATAGTAATTGTCAAAATCACCACGTTTTAAATCTAAAATGAATACAAAAGTCAAAATAATGTCATCTAATATCGGCGACAACCAAAGAGCTTCGTGAAATATTCAACATCAAAAATGATTGTATTATTTCAGAAGAAGAACAAGAAAAGCGGTTGAAGAAAGAGATGGAAAAGAGTAGTGTGAAGAAAAGAAGAAAGCAAAATCTTCAATGTTGCATGGCTGGATTTAAATGGATTAGAATTTAACAATTTTATTATTTTAACAAATATTTTATTAGTGAAAGTAAATTTTCATTTTTTTATGTACTTTGAGAAATGATTAACTAATTGTAATAAAAATATTAAAATTATGTGACCATTTGCTATTCTACTACTACATCCACTATTATTTATTTCCATTTAAAAAATATAATAGAATAATAATTGTCAAATCTTACCATATGTTAAATCTAAAATGAATATAAAAGTCAAAATAATGTCATCTGACATCATATTGGTGTCAAACTAATGAAAATATATAAATTTGGTCAAATTAATGTTATAAGGTCAGGGCACAGATGGATATTATTAAAAGATAATGTATTTTTGAGAATTAAAATGTTTAAAAATTAATACTTTCTCTAGATGTATAGTATATAAAATTGCACGAAAAACAAGATATTCATGTTTGCTATGCGTGCTTTGTAAGATTGTACAAACTATAACAGTTTTATACCAAAAATTTTTCAATACTTTCCTTTATTTGATTTTAAGTAAAAGAAACCTTTCCTTAAGTGACTTGTCTTTTGACCAGATATCAAAAATAATCACATTATATCTAAGAAAAATTATAAGTAAACATAGTTAAAGCTTAGAGATTCTATAGTCATATCCTTAAAATTAAACATTCACATATAATATTGCTTGGTAATTAATTATAATATATTCATATACAATATAATAAAATTAATTAGCAAGCTATTAAAATTTATGCTTTTAAAGAAATGCATTTTTCTATAAATTATTCAAAGAAATCTAGATGTCTTGCGCGAGAGCTACATACAGAAAAATCTTTTATATAAAGATGAAAGAGAAATTGTGTGCAAACGATAAATCTAAAGAGAAAGTAAGCAAGTGAAGAAATATTGTATATGAATAATGATTGTAAATTAAAAATTATTGTTTCTATTGTCAAATTTAGGTATTATAAAAGCCATAAATATAATAAATTTATTAATTTATAATGTTAATAGAGGGAAATGTCATTTTCTGAATTTTTTCAAAGATATTATGCTAAAATATTTCTATTTAAATCAACCGTAACAAAATAATAAATCATAGAATTTATAATAGTGGAATAAATCGAATTTTTTCTGTTAAAATACTAAAAGTCATTGATCGACTTGATTGGAAATATATAATAATCTGTAGATTTTGATATAATTTGCATTCGATTTTATTTGTTCTGTAAATGATTGAAGTAAAATATTTTATAAATATTTCTGTTCTTTTTAATAGTAAAATTTAAATAAAATTTAAATAAAAATTTAAATAAAATAAAATAATGAAACAAAATAGAAATTCAAATAAAATACCGAATTGAAATTTCAATAAAAAGTAAAATAAATTTTCTTGTCTTTTTCCCCACTTTGTCAGAGATTTATGGCTTAATAGTTTTATCAAAATGTGTTTTTAATGGAAATTTTTATTTTTTTGACCTTTTGTCAACTGTCCATTAACATTGACTAAATATGCTACCAGTGAACATAAAATTATTATCATCCATCCTATCCGATGATAAAATTTTATTATCAAATTTTATCGGTTAACAGCAAAAGCAAATATTTAGCTAATTATAAGAAACATAGATACACATATAATAGACCGATCCTTAGATAAAATCAAAATGAAAAGAATTTATATTGAATTTATATGTATATATGATTATGTGTCGTATGCTTGCTTCAATGCCACATATTCAATCCCACATAGCCGAACATTTAGTTTCATCCCTACTATTCTTACTCAAGATAAAAAGAGACATGCCTAGAATGCTATTTCTATTCTTCATTGTTTTCGCATTGTCTCTTACGGCAGGAATCGGACTATTATGTATGTCTAGTAAGAAAAAATAAACTTAAGAAAAGACTATGCACATTCCGATAGAAATAGACAGACTCAAAATTACAATTTAGGTACGTCTCCAAAATAATCTGTAGGTATTATACCTCTTTCTTTTTCTTCTTTTTTCTCTCATATAGACAGGCTTTGAAAAATTTCCATTATACCATTAACAAAGATACCTTAACTGATTCAAAGATTTTGAAAAAGTAAATTTTTCTTATAAAGCCATTCAGTGCATTTCTCGGAATTTGTAAAGAAAAAAGTTCACAATGCTTCACATAAATGTACGCACACTAAATAAATAGTTAATACATTTGGAATTGAGCTCGTTTCCTACGGTCGCAACAATGGATTAACAAGGAAACTCCTGGATTTTCACTTAAAAGATTAGGATTTTATCTACAGCATAATGCTTTTGATGTATTGGAGAATGAATTAATATATTTTATCAAAAAAAGATTATATCTATACTTCTGCATTCCACAATTGTCAATTTATTTTCTTACGGATAATTTGAATATATAGAAATATTTTTGCACAATCATTATAAAAAAATTCAATAAATTAAATTGTTAGTCACATTATAAATTAATATAATTATTTTTACTTATTTTAATATCATTATTTTATATATATTAATTATAAATTAATATAATAATTATTGTATAGCAAAGTTACAGTAAATATAAGTTTTTTTTAAGTAATATAATTGCAATTTGCCGAAGAAATATTTTAAGATAATTTTTCGATATTTGAAATGATATCGTTTTATTTTTTTTCTTCTGTTTGTATTTTCATTTTATTTTATATAACATACTGTTCAATTTATGTTTCAAATAATAAATGTTTTCTCCAATCTCTCCAATATTTCCACTTTTTCTTTCGCCCTTTCATTTGAAGCATTCATTATCATGTTTCCTATGCATACACATACATTTTTATCTGTATACCTACCTTCAGAATATCATATCTCGATTGTGTATACATATGCGACTTTTGTTTGAGTTATATATTTAGATAATAATAAAATCTTCTATGAAGCTTCTATTAAGTTAATAAAAAAAATTCGATATCAATAACTTATAACATGATAAAATTGGCAACAACCAAAGCGTTAATATATTTATATATTAATAATTAAATCGCAGAGAGAAGAAGAGATAATATCTTCTCTTTTATTTTTTTATTGATATTATTACATCTCTTATATTCGTGATCAAGTCGGCATTGCATTATGAACATCTGGTTGACAAGAGTTATTGATAAGAGAATAGTGGAGTTAAAGAATAGCTGTCAAACTATCCGGATACGTTTACGTATACGTGTCGTTTATTCCTGCTATTATCCGTTGTTTGTGTGTCTTCTGTGTTTCTCATTAAAGTTCCTTATTATTTTTAGGAATGTTTTGTTATTTTACGTGGCCCGCGAGTGCCCGATTGCATTGATACATCGAAGTCATCGCCGCGGACGTAACAATATATTTCAAATTATTCACTTTCTTTAAAATATACATCAAATACGAATGTTTTGAATTATTTTTTGCTCCGTCTTAAATTTTCGTAAATAAGTTATTATAATATAAAAGTATTAAAAGAAACAAGAAAGAAATTTTGATAAAGATATAAAGATGATAGCATTAGTTAATAAACGTTAATATTGTATTGTTGCCTTTTAGACTACGCACTGGATTACATTCTTAATAACATTACGTAGTAATTTTGTTCTAATAACAACAGTCTTTATAATTCTATTAATTATTGATTTCTGAACACACACACTATTCTTATATATATTAAAGCGATTATTTTTGAATGATTAATGCAATATGTCAATTTCACTTCATTTATTTCTACTTTTTTTTGTATGCATTTTTTATGTCATTTCTTTTAATATTCAGATCGTGACAAATAAAAATCATAAATTTTACAGAAAACATTGAATTTCTTAAAAATTCAGTTCCAACTGTCTTAAATCTTCAAATAGACACTTTTGTAAATAATAGGCAATTGACATGGTATTTTAATGGTCTATATTTTAATGGTCTAAAAAGACCATTAAAATGACATTAAACAAAGTCATTAAGTTAAGTCATAAATTTTCAGAACAATAAGGATTGGAAAAGGAAAGAAGTGGTCTAAGAATTTGTTACAGCTGCCTTCATTGACCAATGAAATCTGTATACTGATTCGTAAATGAAACGCATTGGAGCATTTGGAGCATTTCTAAGCAAGAAAAATTTTTAGTGTGAATCACATGAAACACGGGTACGTGTCAGTCGTATGGGGGCAGTGGAGGAATACAGAACATATATTTGTGATTCTTTGCACATACAAGTATATATATATATATATATATATATATATATATATGATATAAGTATATATATACGAATTAAGTGACTCAAAAGCAAAAATAGTGTTTGTTGTTTTTTTGATCATCGTTTAATTCAATCGTTTTCAATGGCAGAAATAACACAATTGCCGGACGAAATTATTGTTTTTATTCTAGAGAACAAGAGCATCACCATAAAAGATGTCATAAATTTTAAGTCTACGTGTGAAAGATTACAGTGCATAACACTGGACAACTGCTTCTGGAAGAAAAAAATTTGTCAGAGGTACTTTTATATATTTATAAGCTTTATATTAATTTTAGACTTGATCAATATTCAATATCGCTCAACAAAGTACTTTGTGAAAATAATGAGAAGGGACAATTAAAATTATTATAATATTATTTTAGTAATTTAAATTATTGTCTGTTACTTTTACTAAATATTTTTCGTTTCGGATGTTACAATTTAATACGATTGTAGTAAACAAATTAAAGCCAAAATCTCGATGCATCTAAAAGTTTGACAATAATAAGCTTTATCGATTAATTCTACATTATTCTACTATTTGATAGCTTTTATTTGCAGTTCATGATATTCGTTGTCATCATACACTATAATTTCAAACTTTTTAAAAATAGAATCTATTATTAAATTAGAAGCACAAAATTTTGTCCTGTTTTTTATCATTGTCTTTTTGCATGTTGAAGAATTTGTCCTTTTTTACATAAATTATTTTAATTTAGTCAAAATATAAATTTTAAAGAAAATTTTTCATTATTGTTGTGTATTAATAGTCGTAATCATTTTGATTATTTCGATTTTGACTAACACGAAGTATTTATTTTATAGTGTATAAAATGTATAAATACATAAAATTAGATTGCTACTGCAGATTTTCATTGCAACTCTAAAATTAGCAATAGTATAATTATGTGTTTAAATATTTATATAATACTATTCAAACAAGAACACAACACTAACATTTATTTCAACACTTATATTTATTTCAAGATTTATTATTTCGTTCAAAATTTATTTACATACTATTATTCACATCATACTATTTTTACGTTTCATAAATAATTATATTCTTTACAACTAAATAAACTTGTAATTTTCTTAAAATTTTCTGTTTATACTTAATAATTTCTATAATTTTACATATAAATATCATATACAATCATCTATCTATTTGAAGATTGTAAAGAATAAATAACTTTTTATTCCATAATATCTTTTTAATTTTAATTTTTATTTTAATGGAATAGAGATTCAAAATAATACATGTTTCATTTTTACACTCGAATTTTTATTTAAATAAGATATAAGTACAACAAACTTAAATATATGTGAGATTATTACAGCAGATGCATCATAATATCACATTGTGTGGATATTTATAAATTGCCATCCATAGTATAGCGATAATAATAATTTGATTAAAGAAATCAATATATATTTTTCTATTAAATATTGAAAAAGATATAATATTAATATTTAGATATAATATTAATATTTTTAATATTTACAAATCATTTAATTTGCTCTAAATATTAATTAAAAATTTTATTTTGAGGAAAATATATTACTCGCAATTTATTGTTGATATTGTAGTGTTATTAATAATCAACATAATTCTTAAGAATTTTGTATCTTAATTTTAGATGTTCTACTGCAACGAAGACGTATTACTTACAAAAGCTGAATAAAATTGGGCATTTAAATTTTGAAAAACAAATTATGTTAATTATAAAAACAAAAACAAAGTGTATCAAAAAGCTACATTATTATGTATCATTAATGTCCGACAATAATTCAACGAAAATTGACAAAGAAGAATTGGAATTTGTTCTATTTTCCACAGTTAAAAATTCCATCACTTATCATTTTGTTTTAGATGATCTTAATAGAATTAGTTCTACACAATTACCACGGTAAAATTCAATAAAAAATTGTTATTAATATTTTAGACCAATGTAATTATTGTATAGTTAACATTTAAATTTTTTCTAGGTCACTTGATTCTCATTTAACGTTGAACTATAATTTTGATTTAATTTTGAATTGTTTAATACAATATCGCTTTATGTATAAACAAATCAAATTTTTAACTAAGCCGATCGAAAAGCAGCTTCCAGAACAGCAAATCACTATTTTGGCACAATATTTTTTACCTTATTTATCTTATTCGGTTATAAAAAAATGGCTAGACGATATTGCACAAGACGTATTAATTCACATTAAAATTAAATATCCTTCCCATCCAATATTATCGATGTCACCGGAAAACTTTTATTTTTGGAAAGCAAATAATATATTTGATAATTTCTGGGATCCAACGGAATCAACACAAATTATATGTGCACTTAAAGAATATGTTTTTTCTCACATTGGGATAAATAAATTATTTCAATTTCTCTCATTGATAATACCAGATCTCGATGCTAAATATAAAAAAGTAAGAAATTTTACATTATGATAAATTATAATAATTTGTCATGCTCTGCGCAAGGAGTACTCTAATTTTAATATTTTATTATTAATGTACAATTTTTAAAAATATAATTTAAAACAGATTGCAGACTACTTTGTAAATTATTTATTAACTATTACGTATCATTGCATCGCTAGAAGACTCGGTATATGTTGCATTCTGATGATAACGGAGTGCAAACATCTTCAAATCATATGGAAACCGAAATAGTAAGCTTAATTTTAACTAAACATAGTATATTTGAGCTATTTCAATCTTTTTGGATTTTATATATATATTTTTTTCTTATTTTTAGTAATACAGAAGTTCAGGATAATGCCGAATATTTTTATATAACAAAATTCGATGAAAGTTACCCATTAAATATCGCCAGAGGAACATATTACAATGATATTCCACCTTGTCTCTTACACAATGACAGACTTTTACATGTAATTTTTATGTTAATTTTAGCAGTAGTTAAGAAATATGAAGATCAATTGCATGTCTTACAAATATATTATATTAAGTTAATGAATCAATATATTTTATTATCAATGAATAAGATAATAAACATTATTTTTATCTTCTTGTCTGCTATAGAAATTTTATAATTTACTGTTATTTATTTTTTTAGATATTGGAATATATGTTAGACACTTTTAATATTATACTGAAAACATTGAATATTGTGAATTATAAATGGAAATTCCAATTCTTATACACTTTTCTACATTCAAAGGAGTTAAGATATAATACTCGACAGACAAATAGTACACATCGAGTGATCTTACGGCAGACTGTAAATAACACTTTCTACGAAAGAATTACAAACATAATAGAGGTAGATTATTATACATTGTATTTTAATTATATTTTGTTTATATAACAATATATAAAAAATTATTTATAATTATATATATGTATATATATATATATATATATATATAATTATAAATAATATGATTTTTTATGTATTGTTATATAAACAAAATATAATTAAAATACATATATATATATATATATATAACCTAAAGCATTATTTTAGAAATTTAATGAAATATTATTCACAAATGTTGCACAATTACATTTTTATAGGTTGGATCTGTTGCAATAAAAGAAGAAGTAAAAAAAAACATAAAATATTCTGTGGGAATTATAGTAAAGCATTATGTACAACGTGCATTTCTTAATTTATCCCCTAAATATCATTACGGTGTAATAATTGGTTGGCATCATACGTGTAATTTAATATTCAAACAGCAATTGATAAAGACAAAAGCACATCAGTTTCCATATCTATGCCCGGAATATGTCAGTAAATGTATATGTGAAGAAATATCAAATACTATCGGACCATACTACATAATTCTCAGCGAAAATAATAAAATATGTTACGTCCGACAAGGTATGAATATTTATAGCATTCTTATAAATCACTTATGTTTTACGAGTATCATTGTTATTCATCTTTACAACAATTAAAACATTTCTTTAATTTCAGATGATATATCGTTATGTTTACCAAGAGAAATCAATAACATAGAAATTGGACGATTCTTTTATAAATTTCAAGGAACTCATTATGTACCAAATAAATACTTAGAACAAAATTATCCAAGTGATGATACCGCTGCAATTTTGAAATACTTGTGCAAGAAGAAAAAGTTTTTGTGAATTTTTAAATAATTATTACTCTCTAAAAGTGAATCAGTGTATTATTATTGTAATCAGTGCTGTACTTATGCTTGCTTACTGCTTACTTAACTGCTTGTAATCAGTGAATATTTACTATTTTTCAGTGATAATACACTGATTCACGCTAATGAAAGTAGCTATGTATATATACTACTACTAATAAATATAGCAGATTTTGTTGTTTTTCAACGAAGTTATTTCACAAATCTATATTATATCTATATCTATTATATTTATATTATACTAAGTGAACTATTTTGCATATATAAGAACATATGCATATTAATGATTTACTTATACTAAATAAATATTATTTAGAATATATATATAATATGCGATGTATAAAAAGTAATTACATGGACATAAATACATACATTTCTCTATTTATTTCCCTTTCTTTTTCCTTCTTCTTTCTCCCTTTTGTGTTCTCTGTCTTTCCGTCTCTCTTTTAATCTCCATTTCTCAATCTTTCTCTTTCTCTTTTTTATATCTTTTTCTTTCTTACGAATTTTTTTTTCTTTCTCCTCTTTCTCTTTTTTTTCCTCTCTCTCTCTCTCTCTCTCTCTCTTCCTTTCTTTCTCCATCTATTTATTTATTTATTCCTTTTCTTTTTTTAATACTTTTTTGACTTCTTTAACTCCAAACAAAAAAAATGAAAATCAAAAACATTAACAATATATTTTTAACATTTTCTTATTTATTCTCTATTTTATACTTTTGTTACGGATCTTAATAGAAATGTTTTTGCACAATTACTATGATAAATTTCAACAAACTAAACTAAATTATTACTAACATTATAAATTAATGTAATTATTCTGTAGCAAGTGTATAGTATATATATGTAAATCTTTTTCAGACAATCCAATTTGTAAAAGAAATATTATTTTGATGCAATTTTCTGATATTCTAAACAATTTCATTTAATATATAAAAGTAAGAAGTAAAACAAATTTAGTAAAAGTAAAACAAATTAAAAATATTATCTTCTCGTCCTCAGATTCAGTTGTTTTTGTCTTTTTTTTATATTTTCCTTTTATCACATTACTGAATTGATTCAAATCTGTTTTTTCTCCAATCTCTAATACATTCATATTTTTCCTTATTTTTTAATACATAATTGATTATCGTGTTTTCTCTACTTGCTGTATGCGTGTACTTCCGTCTTCATCTTTTTTCATATTTCCATATTTGAAAATATTCTCTCCATTCCGATTTTTCCAATTCTTTTTCTGATCTTGTGATCTTCTCCCTCCTTATTAATATGTCTCCCTCCTTTCAATATGTATTGTATAATTATTTTATTAGTTATTTAGATATATTAGGCCGTATGTTTTTGTTATATATTTTATTATATATATATTATTAGTTCTCCTATAACTAAAACATTTATTAAATGCAAAAATTAAAAAAAATTTTTTAAATAAAGACAAGAAAGAAAGTAAAAGCAGAAAAGTCTGGAAAAATAGAAGTAAAAATAATCTACCAAGCAAATAAGACGGGGGGAGGTGTACATTTAAAATATTAGTATTATTTTAGTTTTAGGTAACGAAAATTTTACTGATGTTCATACATATCACGTTCATATTTGGAAAAGGAAATCTATCGATCTGTTAATAGTACGCCGCTCTGAATTTCATTTATAGATCAATGGTAATCACTTTGAGCAATTCCTTTAATTGCGTAGAGTAAACAACTGCTGTATCAGCAAATGCGTTGTGTATTTTGTGCGTCGCCTTCCGGAAGTCACGCCGATTCTATGTTCTTTGACAAAAAAATATTCATTTTGTCTCCATCAAATATTCCTTAAAATTTCGGAACGGACTTTGGAGGAGCCACAGGTGTATTCTACAACATTTGGTTACTTTTAACGTATATCCCCTCCAGTACCAGTATACCCTATAAAATGTTAGCATAACTGAATATAATACACAGTCGATTCTCTGCATGATTCTAAATCAGATGTGCAAAAGTGAATATTAAGAACCAAAGGCCAAAGAAATACCTCAGACAAGCAGCAACGTGGAGGAAAATCTAAAGAAAAGAACGAAAGTCTACAAGGAATTAATTGAATCGACGATTTTTATTTTGTCAACAAGGTAATTATCACATTTTCTTAGTTTAATAATTCAGACTGAAAATAATCCTTCCATGTAAAATTGGCTTTTCGTGCTTAACATGCCAATCGATTTATAGTATGAATAAAGCGAGAAGAGAGAGATAATATATAAAATTAAAAAAAAATAAAATAATATACACATACATATAATGGAATTTAAATACGATTGAATTAAACAATAACATGAATAGACTTAGGTATATTAAATTGCAGTGTTATTACTAGTAAAAGCTGTTGTAGTAATTAAATGCTTTCCATAATATTCTGAAAATTTACTATGTACAAATGTATATTTTATTTTTAATACATATATATATATATATATATATATATATATATATATATATTTTATGGTTATGATCAGAAATTGAGGAATTATGAATTTTTTTTATAATCTTTTGCTCTCTCTTTCCATCATTCAGAAAAGTTTAGAAACATACACGAAAAATACATCTTTCTTTAAAATTTGCAAACATTCAGTTATCATGCATACTTAATGCAATTAATTAATTACAATTAGACTTTTATTCGTAAGATTACATTAGTTATGGTGTGTGTGTGTGTGTGTGTGTGTGTGTGTGTGTGTGTGTGTGTGTGTGTGTGTGTGTGTGTGTGTGTGTGTGTGTGAGAGAGAGAGAGAGAGAGAGAGAAAGAACGAGTGTGGTACATACATACATCGCTTTGTACGTATAATAAGAAAAGTCTTTTATTGGTTGCTTACGGCTATAATGTAGAGTTACTATTTTCTCTTTTCCCTTGTTGCTTTGTTTTCTTAATGTCAATTCACATTTTATAAACCGTGACAATTTTTTTCCGTCCACGTGCACTCGTGTTCACTCATGAAACTAACATTTACATCTCATTTTATACTATCAAAAATACTGCAAATATAAATGTTTCAAAAATAATTGCCTTTACGAGTCACTTTCATGTCATAAAATGAAATAGAGTCAATTAAATTTAAATAAACAAATTCTATAAGAAATAATTGTTTTCTCCTTCTTATACATCTAAAATTGAGACATCTACCATCAGAAAATCATTGTAAAATGATTTTATGACAGTTTCTGTTTAATTATTTCAATTATCGTTAATTATTTCATGAAAAAATTATGAAGCTTTACTTAGAATACGCTATCTGGAAGAAATCAGCTTGATTTATGTTGTTTAATAACATACTTTCTATATCTTCCTGTATACCTTGCAGATGCCTAACGTAAAGCTACAGGATCCCTATGGCGAAACATTCGAGGTTGACATCGAAATCATAATATGTTCGATTATTATCAGGGCCATGCTGAAAAATCTCCATATATACGAGGAGGAGGAAGAAGTGGGAGTTGTGCCATTACTGAATATTAATCCCGCGATCCTCAATAAGATTATACAGCGGTATATATATGATAAAAATGGTTTTCCACCACCACCCGAAATTAAGAGAGCGAGATACGAGAACGAAGAGTATTGTGCTGATGATATCGATTCATATTATGCCGAATTTGTAAAAGTAACTATCCTTTGTAGATTACGCTGAAATTAAACAAAGTTTAGAATAAATATGTATAATATTATTCAAGAGAATATTATGACAAGATAAATGTTGCTATAAATTTTGTTATAATTTTAAACGCGTATATATGTGTTTTACAGGCTGCGGAAAGCACTTGCTTCGATTTGATTTTGGCAGCTAATTACCTCCGTATCAAAGATCTCATAAATATCACAGACAAAATCGTTCTCTTAAATATCACATGCCAAACCGTTGCTGATATGGTTAAAGGCAAGACATCCGAAGAGTTTCGCAAACCATTTAACATCAATGATTATATTATTTCGGAGGAAGGACTAGAAAGATGCTTGGAGAAAATGACAAATAAGAGCATGAGGAAAAGAAAAAGAGAACGTAAAATCTTCAATTTTGAACATTATTACGATATTTAGAATTTAACAATTTTATTATTTTAATAAATATTTTTTTAGTAAAAATAAATTTTTATTTTTTTTTCAAAAATAATCAATTAATTGTAATAGAAATATTCAAATTACGTGACTATTTTCTATTTTACTACTACACCATTATTTATTTCCATTTTATAAATATAGAATAGTAATTGTCAAAATCACCACGTTTTAAATCTAAAATAAATACAAAAGTCAAAATAATGTCATCTAATATCGGCAACAACCAAAGAGCTTCGTGAAATATTCAACATCAAAAATGATTGTATTATTTCAGAAGAAGAACAAGTAGAAAAGCGGTTGAAGAAAGAGATGGAAAAGAGTAGTGTGAAGAAAAGAAGAAAGCAAAATCTTTAATGTTGCATGGTTGGATTTAATTGGATTAGATTTTAACAATTTTATTATTTTAACAAATATTTTATAATATATATTTTAGTGAAAGTAAGTTTACTCGGACCTATCGAAATCGAATTGGACTATTATGTATGTCTATAGTAAGAAAAAATAAAATTAAGAAAAGACTATATATTCCGATAGAAATAGACAGACTCAAAATTATAATTTAGGTACGTCTCCAAAAAATCTCTCTCATGCAATGTGTATTCATATATGGGCTGCTAAAATAAGTTCAAGAGAGTAAACAAATCAAATCCACACTTTTTAAAATCAAAAAATGATGTCGAAATAATATCTATTTAATGGATTGCCTGAAAAAAATTTATATTTAGATTTACAATAAGTTCATTGATTTATAACATTAATAGAAATATATTTGAATATTTTAGATAGATATTGTGCAAAAATATTTCCTGTATAAAATAATAAATTACAGTGTTCACAATAGTGGAATAAATCGAATTTTTTAAAATTCATTTTCCGTCATCAGAAATATATAACAATTTATAAATTTTAATATATTTTACACTCGATTTTATCTGTTCTTTAAATGTAAAAGTAAAATATTTTATATATTATATTTGTGTCCTTTTAATAGTAAAATAATTTTTTCTGTCTCTATTCTTTTTTACAAGAGGACGTCTAAAACTAAAATAGAAAATATTTTAAATCTCTAAAGTTATATTACACAATGCCATATAATTAACAATATATATTTTAAAATATGTATGAAACTTTAAATTATATGTGTTGAAATTTATGACATTATAATTGTTCCAATCATATATTGTCTTGATGACTGTTTCAATTTTTAGACATCGGAAGATTTAAAATAAATGTGTCTTTCTTTTTCTCTTTTTTTCTCTCATATGGTTGACAAGCTTTGAAAAATTCTCATTATATCTATTAAGGATACCTCTCGGATTCATAAATTACCCTGATTCATAGATATCCTGATTTATAGATTTTGATAAAAAAATTTGTATAAGTATTTTTCGATAAATAAAGTTTCCTCGAAAAGCCAATAGTGATAATAATGATAATAGTTTTATCTTTCCTATTTGTCTTTTAGATTATATACACTGGATTTTATTTTTAATAACATTACGCAGTAATTTTGTTTTAATAACAAGTCTTTATAATTCTATTAATTAATAATTCCTGAATACACACACAATTATTATTACATGTATTAAATGATATTATTCTTAAATGATTGAAACTCGTTTTATAATGTGTTACTTCGTTTATTTCTAACTTTTCATGGACTATTTTTAGTGTTCAGATCGCGGGAAATAAATTTTACAGGACAGATAACATTGAATTTCTTAAAAATCAAGTAAACTGATTATAACTGACTGTTTTAAATCTCGAAGTAAATTCTTATAAAAAAAGCAATGGGCAATGAACAGTTCGAAATTCCGTTAAAATAATATTGAAACAGTCACTAAGCCATAAATCTCGAGAACAATAAAGATTGAAGGAAAGAAGAGATTGAAGGAAAGAAGAATTTGTCATACCTGCCTTTCGTTATCTTCACTGACCATTCAGGATCGAGAAGTCTGTGACCTTTTATTCTCATTAGTAAATGAAATACTTTGAAGCATTTCTAAGCAAGAAAATTTTTCAGAAAACGTGAAGCAAAGTGTGTAAGTTACAAACGCATCGTGACAGTGCAAGAAGTTACAATATATATTGTGCATACATTCGTGATTCCTTACACAAATAAGTATATATACGAATTTAGCACGATTCGAAAGCAAAAATAGTGTTTGTTGTCAGTTTTTTGATCATTGTTTAATTCAATCATCGTTTTCAATGGTAAAAATAACACACTTGCCAGACGAAATTATAGTTTTTATTCTAGAAAACAAGAGCATTAGTATAGAAGATGTCATAAATTTTAGGTCCATGTGTAAAAGATTACAGCGCATAACATTGAGCAATTGCTTTTGGAAAAAAAAAATTTGTCAGAGGTACGTCTATATATTTAAAAGCTTTATATTAATTTTGTTACATTAATTTTACACTTGATCAACATTCATCGCTCAACAAAGCACTTTGTTAATAAAATAATTATAAAACAATAAAATAGAACAATTAAAAATGATCAACAAAACATTTTGTTAACAAAATATGAATAAAACAAAATAATAAAATGGGACAATTAAAATTAATACATTGTTATTTAATTATTTAAATTATTGTCTGTTGTTTTTTAAATATTTCTGATTTTAATTTAATACGATTGTAATAAAGGATGAAATTCTAATAAAGTTGAAGTCTTAATGAATATAAAACAATTTGACGAGACATAATAAACTTTATCAATTCTGCGCTATGTGCATTTGATAGCTTGTTCACGGTTTTTTAATTTTTTGTACACTATAATTTCAAACATTTTTTAACTTTTTAAAATTTTATTATTAATAAGCATGAATTATTATGAGCATGAAATTTATCCTGTCGTTTATCATTATTTAGTATTTTTATTGCATGCTTAATAAAATTTCTTTTTTAAATAAATTATTTTAAATTATTCAAAATATAAATTTCAAAGGAAATTTTTCTTTATTGTTGTATTAATAATCTCATTCATTTTTGTTATTTTGATTTTGCGACTAAAAAGAAGTATATTTAGTTTATAATGTGTTACAAATTGCTACTACAAATTTTCATATTACAGTTTTAAAATTAGCAGTAATAGGATTATTTAAATGTTTATATAAAACTATTTAAATAAGAACACAATTCTTACATTTATTTATTTCAAAATTATTCCTTTCAAAACTTACTTTCTAATATTATATTTTTACGTTTTATAAATAATTATATTCTTTACAACTAAATAAACCTGTCATTTTCTTAAAATTTTCTGTTTATATTTAATAATTTTTATAATTTTATATAAATATCATATACAATCATTTATCTATTTGAAGATTGTAAAGAATAAACAATAATTTTTTATTCTATAAGAGCTTTTTAGTTTCTATTTTTATTTTAATGGAATAGACACTCAAAATAATACACGTTTCATTTTTACACTCGAATTTTTATTTAAAAATAAGATATAAAGTATAACAAACTTAAATACAGGGTGTTTCTAAAACTATGTCGGAGATTTTAAGGGCGTATTCTAGAGGTTAAAATAAGAAAAAGTTCATATAAACATGGGTTCAAAAATGCTTTTCCTCCGAGTTATAGCCCTCTAAAGTTGAGAGAAAAAATTGTCAAAACCACAAAAAAATGAAGCTCATTATTAATTATTACGCTGTGCAAAACTTTAACGTTCTATGAAAAAGTCTCCGAGAGTTACAATACATTTTTCGATTTTTTCCCTCAACTTTAGGGGGCTATAACTCGGAGGAAAAGCATTTTTGGACTCATGTTTATATGAGCACTTTTTCTTATTTTAAACCCTAGAATACGCTCTTAAAATCTCCGACATAGTTTTAGAAACACCCTGTATATGTGAGATTATTACAGCAGATGCATCACAATATTACATTGTGTAGATATTTATAAATTGTCATCCATTAGATAGCGGTAATAACAATTTGATTAAAGAAATTAATATATATTTTTCTATTAAATATTGAAAAAGATGTAATATTAATATTATTAATATTTACAAATCATTTAATTTGCCCTAAATATTAATTAAAATTTTATTTTTAGGAAAATATATTACTCGCAATTTATTGTTGATATTGTAGCGTTATTAATAATAAACATAATTCTTGAGAATTTTATATCTTAATTTTAGATGTTCTACTACAACGAAGCAGTATTATTTACAGAAATTGGATAAAATTGAGCATTTAAATTTTGAAAAACAGATAAAAACAGAAAGAAAGTGTATCAAAAAGCTACATTATTATGTATCATTAATGTCCGACAATAATTTAACGAAAATTAACAAAGAAGAATTGGAATATCTTCTACTTTTCACGGTTAAAAATTCCATTATTTATCATTTTGTTTTAGATGAGCTTAATAGAATTATTCCTACACAATTACCATGGTAAATTACATACAATTCCTACACAATTACATGATAAATTCAATAAATTGAATTGCCATTAACATTTTAAACTAATGTAATTATTGTATAGATAACATTTAAATTTTTTTCAGGCCACCTTATTTCAATTTGACAATTAAGTATAATTATGAGCTAATTTTCAATTGTTTGACACAATTTCGCTTTATGTACAAACAAACCAAATTTATATTTAAACCAATCAAAAAGCAACTTGTAGAACGGCAAGTTGCTATTGTAGCACAACATTTTCAATCACATATATCTTATTTGGTCATAAAAACGTGGTTAGATAATATTGCGCAAGACGTACTACTTCGCCTTAAAATTAAATATCCTTCGCATTCAATATTCTCGACGTCATCAGAGCAATTTCTTTTTTGGAAAACCAACAATATATATGATAATTACTGGGATCCAACGGAATCAGCACATATTATGCGTACACTTGAAGAATATGTTTTTTCTCACTCTGGGATAGATAAATTATTTCGATTTCTCTCATTGATAATACCAGATTTCGATGCTAAATATAAAAAAGTAAGAAATTTTACATTATGATAAATTATAATAATTTATCATGCTCTGCGTAAGGATTACTATAATTTTAATATTTTATTAATGTTTAACATACAGTTTTTTCAAATATAATTTATAATAGATTTCAGATGTCTCTGTAAGTTATACTTATTTATTAAGTATTATATATCAGAGCATAGCCAGAAGACTCGGTATATGCTGCATTCTGATGTCAATAAAACAAAGAGATTATAGAAACTTTCCAGAAGGAGATCTTAAGATCATATGGAAACCGAAATAGTAAGTTTAATTTTAACTAAACATGATCCATTTTAGCTATTTCAATCTTTCTGGATTTCAAATATATATATTTTTTTTTCTTATTTTTTAGTAATAGAGAAGTAAATGGGGAATATTTTTATATGGCAAAACGATGGGATGAAATTCATCCAATAAATATCATCAGAGGAAGATATTATAAAGATATTTCACCTCGT